CCCCCGGATGGGTGGTCGGGGGGGGGTATCCCTGTGGGGGCTGTTAGAACCTTCTCTTGGGGGCACTTGCTGGGGTCCTCGGTCCCCTCCCACGACTCTCCTGGTTGGTCGGTGTTTCCTTCGGTTGCCCTGAAGGGGCTTGAAGTTGCATGGCATTGGGCTGGGGTCAGGGCACTTGCGGTCCAGGCCCGTCCTGCTGGCCACTTGCCCTGAGCTCAGTGCCTCATCTGCCTTCTGGGCTGTGCTGCACCTGTGCCCGTGTGGTGGCAGCCCTCCTCACCTTCCTGGAGCGTGAGCCTGGGAAGGGCCTGCGTGTTTTCAAGAGAGGACTTTGAGTCCTGGCCGTGGCAGCTGGCCACTCGTCAGGGCTGGTGTCTACACCCAGCCCAGGTGAGTTGAGTGAACTCACCCGAAGCAGACGAAGTCCACCTGAACGTGGGCAGGGCCCCAGCCTCGCTGGCTGAGACCCCTGGCTTCTGAGTTGGCCTTTTTCTCTGATGCTCAGTCGCGGGCACGGGCTGCCTTTCCTCCTGGAGAGGCCTCGTGACAGGGCTTGTCAACACGCACTGGTCCTGTAGTGGTCAACACCTTTTCCCCAGTGGCCAGTGTTAAAAATGGATTTCAAATTAGACTCCGGAGGTTTGGCTCCTGTTTCTGTGTGGCAGGCCGTGCTCCAGGGAGGGGACCAAGCTCCTCTCCTTGAGCCTGTCCTGCCTGGCTCAATTCAGAGTTCCCTGGATTCTGAATTGTCCAGCCTGTACATGCCCAGCCTGTTGAGAAGTTGTTCAAAGTGTGGGAGAGGCGCATTCCAAAGTGGACACAAGCCTGATGACCCCAGGGTGTCTCCGTGCAGATAAGCATCGCCAGCGACCGCTTCACATGGTGGGTCGTGCCGCGGCCTGCTGTCCTTTGTTCTGGGAGGTCAGGTGGTGGCACTTCAGCTGTGAGGGGTGACCAGAGGGTCAGCTTTGCCACACGTGCCCCGGCTTGTAGGCTCTCTTGCCTCCTTGAGTTCAGCCCTGGGTGCCCCTGCGGTGGGACATCTCACGTCAGGGGTCCTGGAGCAGCTAGGGACGGGGAGTTCCAGGACCGGGCCCCCTCACCCCTGCCCCGAGCTGGAGGAGGCGCGGGGCTCTTACACAACAGTCGGGAGAAATATCTGGAGCAGAAATGCAGGTGCCCAGTTTTGAAGGAACGCTCTGGAGAGTCTGGAGCCTTCCATGTTCCTCCGCGCCTTCGCTGCTGTTTCTGCCTCCTGGCACGGGGCAGGGTGAGGCTGGGCCAGCAGCGGGACAGTAAACGTACTCTCCGTCGCAGGCGGGCGTCTCCACTGCCCCTGGTGCCCGGGCTGAGGAGCCGAGTTCCCCTTTCCGGTGTGCCCACGGTGGGTGGGAGGCCCCGCTGCACTTCTGCGGAGACCCCTGCTGGGAACCGGTCTCGAGCAAACATTCACAGACACTTCAGGTGGACTTGCCGTGCAGGGGTGACTCAGGCCAGCTCGTGGGCCGCAAGTGTAGAGCGAACACAGCGTGGTCCCCAGAGGTGAGACTTGTGTGCAGGACACTGAGCCAAGGACTTGGAGTGAGCTCTGGGGGCGTGGGGTGGGGGGGAACTTAGCATCATGTGGTCAGAGAACAGAGGCGGCCCCAGAGGCCAGGGCTTCTTCCGGCTGGGGGAGGCCTCTCCTTCACCCCAGCTATTATGGAACTTGGGAGAAGGGCTGGGGCCCTTGGCCACCCAGCAGGTTGAGCCCTGCACAGGGCAGTGTCCCTAGATCTCAGGGATGGAACTGGAGAATGGGCAGGCAGGGAAGGGGCTCTCTGATGCACCGTCTCTGTAGATACTCCCCCCGTCCTCCGTGAGCTCCTCGGTGGTAGGGGCTCCCTGGCCATCACCTGGGCTGTCTCCTTTCATACCCATCCTTCTGGGCATTGAGGCTGGCCCACCTTTGTGTTGTGACCCTGGAGGGCTCCCAGGGGCCCACCTGAGCGATGGTTGGGGTGGGGTGGCCACACTCCCTGGGAGTCCTGATGTTGAGATGTAGCCCTGCACGTCTAGCCAGGGACCGGAGGCAGAGTGTCCTGGGGCGCTGTGTTCTTCCACCTGCTCGGGCCTGCCCGCGGGACGTGTAAGGTGCAGAGTCCTGGGCCGTGACCCAGACCTTCAGACAGCTGCACGGGGAGCTCCTGGCAGTTCTCACTGTAGAGAGGGAAGAACCACTCCTGGGTTTCCGAAGCCTTTGGAGTCCAGGATATAGAACAAAAAGCATTAGTGTGTTGGGTGCTCGTGTCTGAAACTTGCACCATTGCCCCAGGACTCAGGGGGTACCAGGTAATGGTAAGTTCTCATTGCTTCTGGAGATGACACCTGTTTGAACAGGATGGCCAAGTCCTCACGGCCTCTGAGCCCCTGGGAGGGTGGGGACCTGCCCCTGGGGACCCTGGGTTCAGGTGGATTCTTGGCTGTTCACCCTGAGCTGGGGAGCCTGGCTAGGTGAGTGTGGGGTTGCCCTGGCATCCAGGGAGTGTACCTGGGAGTGGGGGAGTGAACTTGAGGGGGTCCTGGGGCAGGGATGGGGGTCCCTGGGGGTGCACCCGAGGTTGGGTGGTTCTCCCTGTGGCCCTGGGCCCCCCATGTGTACGAGTTCCTGGTGGGTTTGGAGGAGGGAATACCAGTCTGTCTGCTGAAGCCATTTGGCCTGTGCGCCCTGCGGCGGTTTTCCGGGGGTGGGGGGAGTTGCAGCTCTGCCTCCTGGCTGACCGTTTCATTTGGCCGCTTGGGAACGTTGAGGGGGCCGGCCCAGGACCTTGTAACTCCTGGGACCACCACCCTCCCTGCCTTTGAAACTCTCAAATTCTTGCAGCTGCCCCTCGCCCCTGCCATCGCACGTAGCCCCCACAGACCCTCCAGCCTGGCTTTGGAGGGGTTCACTGCTGTCCCCCTGGTTTTCCCCGCATCACAGAAATAAGCGTGGGTGCGTGGAAGGCGGGGACAGGCCTGCTCACGAGGCCACAGTTCACTTTGCTGAGGCTCTGTGCTTCCTGTGGGTGGGGTCTCTGCAGTCATCTGGCTCTTCTGCGGCTCATCCTGGGGGGAGTGTGGGAGCACTTCCTGCTTGGATGGTCTCTGGGCTGCATGTGCTGGGAGTCTGGTGGCTTTTCCTCGGGGTCCCTGGACCACCCCCCACAAGGCTGGTTTCACATCTTGGGAACTTGTTGCGCCCGCTGGGAACTGGAGGGTGTCCCTGCCCGGACCACACCCTCTACGCACTCTCCTTGAAAGGCCAGGCCGCGCAGGAGCAGAGTTCTCCCTCCGTCTGTCAGCCCCGCCACCCTCTGCACCCAGGGCATCCCTACCCGGCCTGAGCCACAGGGCTCCTTAGCGTGGCTCCTTAGCACGCGTGTCCTCCCCACCCTCCCACGATGCCTGCCTCCCGGGCTTCCTGCTTATTTAAAAAGAAGGGTATATCAGTGCCTTAAATGGAGAGCCAGTGTCACTCGACTTATAGAAACATAGTAACAAAGGGAAACAGCAGCAAACCGAAACCGGAAACTGGACTGGGTCTGACCCCCTGCTGCTCTCTGCTGGAGTAGGCTTAGCCGGTTTGGGAAGCTGCTGTTCACACCTGGGCCAAACAAACCCAAAGTGCCCCCGGGTGCGGCTGCCCTTGGGGGACACCTGGCAGCCCACGCTCCTCCTGCCGCCTCTCAAGGCTCCAGGGTCATTAGGCTGAAGGCCTCTGTCCCATGTGGTCCCTTCCTGTCACCTTGTCACCCTCTCCTCCAGAGGCTCCTGCTTCTCCCTTTGCCCTCCTTGCCCACAGTCAGTGTCACCCCCAGGCTCGTCTGCCACGTCCTCCGGTGTTGTGCACGGAGCCCCCCCCCCACCAGCGACGGGACGGCGCCCCCAGGCTGCAGCTCGCTGACTGTGGCCAGGTGTGTGCCAGGCGGCCCGGCAAGGTCTCTTCCTGCCATCTTGGGGCAGCTGGGTCTCCGCACAGGGATGTGTCCAGGTGCCGTGACACCAGCCGCCGGAGCAGGCTGTCCCCGAGACCTCTCCCGGGGAGGGATTCGTGCCCACCCCATAGTCCATAGCCATTACCGCCGCTGTGAGCACTTGAAATGAGTCTGGTGTGCTTGAGGACTGGATTTTAAGTTGTATTTGGCTTTAGTTGATGTTTAAAGAGCCAATCCCGTGGTGGGTGAGGTATGGGGTGAGGTCGTCCCGGTAGCCCCCGGAGGTGGTGACAGCCCAGTGGGTGCGCCCGGCATCTGGGTTGCTACGGGCTCCGGGGGATTCTCAGGGTTGGGGCCTCTGGGCTCTTCTCCCCGTGTGGACGTTGGGTCCTAACTCCGTGAAAGAAGGGGACGCTCTTCGGTGTTGTTTCTGGGGGGCAGGCAGGGTGGTGTCCACGGGCTGCCGGTTGAGCTGCCCCGATTCTTGCCTCGTCTGTTTCAGGAACGGCCTCCTCTCCTGCAGGGCTGTGGGCGGCCTGGACAGCAAGAATGGTGCCCTCCGGCCAGGTGGCGGAGAAGCAGGAGCCCCCGGAGCTTGGGCGGCACCCTGAGCTCAAATCCTGGAGGTGCCTGGTGTTCTACCTGTGTTTCTATGGCTTCATGGCACAGATGCGGCCCGGGGAGAGCTTCATCACCCCCTACCTCCTGGGCACCGATAAGAACTTCACACAAGAGCAGGTGCGTGGGCGCGGCATGTGGGGGCGCCCCGGGCCCGAGGTGGCTGAGCCTGCGAGGGCAGGTGGCTATGGGGGTCAGGGGTCCCGATCCCGGCCCCCCTGAGGGCCGCCTCCACACCGAGGGTCAGGCTGTCACTGACCAGGCCAGTTCGAGAGGGATGGCAGTCGAGAGGGATGGCAGCCGAGAGGGATGGCTGGCTGCCCCAGCCGGAGGGGGAGGACCCCGCCCCCGCGGGCTCACCTGCTGAGCCGGCTTGCTTGCTGCCTTGGAGGACTGAGGAATTTCCCTTTGATGAGGCAGCCAGGACAGAGAGTGTCCTTGAAACTTGACTAATGAGCTTACACCCTGGGGCAGCAACAGATTACACACCTCCAGCCTTTCCTTCTCCACAAAACTAAAGGACCCAAGGGCTGTTGGTCAATGAATCCCTCGGTCAGGGCTTCTGTGCCAGCTCTGCTTACCGCCTGGCTCTCCTGCCCGACCTGTTCCCGGCCCAGGCTCCCTGCTCACTCATCCCTGCCCTTCGGCCTCTGGCTACCCGTCCCCTCCAGCGTGTGCGCCAGCCCCTGTGTCCCCTGTCACTGTGTCTGAACTGTGGGTCATGCTGAGCTGCTGCCTTCCTTGCTCCCTGAGAGCTTGTCACCGTCCCCTTGCACACCTGAGACTTGTTTAAGTCAAGTGGCGTTGCCGAGGCCTGACCCTCAAAGTAGCCGCCTTGGGAAAGATGGAAATACCCGCCTGACCGGCTCGCAGGAGGTCTAACCCTGCATGTGACTGCACCTGATCCCAGAGCCAATCACTTCCGAGGGGGGGGCCCTGTGCCCCCCCAACCCCCACTCAGGCTCTCTGGCCCTCCTCCCGTGCTCACTGGTGGGCCAGGTGGCTGTCGCTCTCAGGAGCACTGCTGTCCGGAGGGGCGGCCGGCCCTCATCGGAATAAGCGCGTATGCGAAGCTCCATTCAAATAACAAGAAAAACAAGAAAAATGTCTGCAGCAAAGTTATAAAGCTCATCTGCCTGCTCTCCAGTTGCACGTGAACTGATCGAAGACAGATGATCCTTGAACTTGGGGCTTAGGGGTGCCCAACCCCTGTGCAGTTGAAAATCTGCGTATAACCTGACTTCCCAAAAACTTAGCTACTGATCGCCCACCGTTGACCAGGAGCCTTGCCGACAGCGTGAACAGTTAACACGTATTCCCTGTGTCATGTGTGTTCCATATTTTATCCTTATAGCAATGGAAGCTAGAGAAAAAAGTGTTTTTTTTTTTTGTTTTTTTTTTGTTTTTTTTTTTTTAATTTTTTTTTTTTTTCAACGTTTATTTATTTTTTGGGACAGAGAGAGACAGAGCATGAACGGGGGAGGGGCAGAGAGAGAGGGAGACACAGAATCGGAAACAGGCTCCAGGCTCTGAGCCATCAGCTCAGAGCCTGATGCGGGGCTCGAACTCACGGACCGCAAGATCGTGACCTGGCTGAAGTCGGACGCTTAACCGACTGCGCCACCCAGGCGCCCCGAAAAAAGTGTTTTTAAGAACATCGTAAGGAAGAGAAAACAATGTGACACTTGGACTATATTTACTGAAAACAAGCTGGAGACAAGGGGACCCACGCAGTTCAGACTGTGGTTCAAGTGTCCGCTGTGGGGGGTTCCAGACATTCAGCCAGACCACCAGCCCCGTGGATGCCATCAGACGGGCAGCAGAGGCGGGCAGGCTGTGCTCATGGCTGCTCGGCGGGGCCCACGGGTGGTGCAGCTGTGAGCTGGCTGGCTTGTGTCCGCACAGCCGCTGCGGCTTCTCGCTGCTGGGCCGACTGGGGACGCTGTTCCCCACAGGCTCGGGCTGATGTGACATTCATGCACCCTGGGGGTGGAACCGCAGAGCTTTCACCCGGTGCTTAGGTGGCCTCCAGGCTGTCCCTACCCCAACCCCCGGCAGGTGTACTGGGCCTGGCCACGCACACGTGGCTTCCGTTTCCCTCGCCAGCATCTGATTGGTGCTGTTGAGTTTCTGCCCATCTGATCGCAGCAAACAGCCGGTGTGCTGCTGGATTGCGTTTCTCTGCTCTCCGTGTGGTCCGCGGGGCCTGGCTGTCACCTGGCTGTCTCTGTGCTCGCAGGCCAGCCTCCGTGTCCTCCTCCGGGGCTGTCTGCCTTCTGGTTGCCCTTTGGGGTCACGTGTTTCTCCTAGTCTGGGCTGGTCTCCCCTGCTTTGTAAGCTTTAGTCTGGCCAGATGGTCCACGGTTCATGCTGTGAGGTCGCCTGACATGGCCCCCCCTCCGCCGCAGACTTAGGAAGTGCCTTGGGGAGGGGACGGGTCCTGCTCTGCACCTGCAGGCCTGTCATTCCTTTGCATCCAGGCTGCCTGGCTGAGTCCTGCTGCCGCAGCCCCCACGGAAAGCACCCGCCCGGGACCACTGACCGCCATCCTCACGGGGCTGACACCACCTGGTGCCCTCCTCAGTGAAGGTCCCCGTGTCATTCCCGCCCTCGCCTCAGGCGGTTCTCCGTGCGCGTACAGGCTCCGCCTGGCATCAGCTGTGGTGTTTCCTCCCGGAGTTTGGGTAGGCCGTGGCTCTGCCCTGCTCCCTTCGTCCCCCTCCTCAGAACCCGCTGGTCTTCATCCTGGTGCCCCATCCTCCCTGCCTTCCCACGGCTGCTGTGGGGCCCGGCCGAGCCGGCCCGATCCGAGAAGGAGCAGCCCGGAAGCCACCTGGATCTAGGTCTGGGCACGGTTTCCGCGCTTTCCCCGTCAGCCTGGACCAGACCCTAGCGGGATGGGAATGCGTCCAGGCAACGCTAGGCTCGGGCCGGGACGAGGCTGACCTCGTGCCAGGGCCGGGCCACGTGACAGCTGCCGTCTGCCCTGGGGACCCCGTGGGTGCCCTCTCCTCCAGGAACTTCCCCGTGTGACATGGGTCAGCCGTTTGCCAGGCCTGAGGGGAAGCCGAGTGGGGCTGCGGGGCGGGGCTGGGGGTCGTTAGGAGACATCGTAAGTGAGGGCCGTTTGATGTTCTTGGAGACTGTAAACACGGTTCCAGACCCCCCTGCAGCTGGGACCCTGTGGCTCTTGGTGACCAAGTGCAGGTTCTTCTTTCCCCTGGGGCCCACCTGCACTGAGTGTCCCAGAATGTCCTGGGGCTTTTGTGCACGGTGTCTCGGGGGCCACGGCCTGGGGGTCATCCTCAGCTTCCCATGGCCATGTGGGTTTAAGAGGCCACCAGCCAGGGAAGTTCTGTCACGGGCCCCTGTGTCTCAGAGCTGGGTCTCCCGACGGCTTTCCTTGGGCCCTGAGGCTTGTCCTGTGCACGAGGGCAGAAACAGGTCTCCACACTCGGCCCGGGACCGTCTGTGGCCAGCCGGGCCCATCACGCAGCATCCCCTGGGCGGGCAGGCGCCGGGGCCGCAGAACTCCCCGGCTGAACCCTCTGAAGCACTGGGTCCACGTGGCGTCCCAGAGCCTGGTAGGTGGTGGGCACGGCCCCCCGTGCTGACCCAGGGTCGACTCCGGGGCCTCGGAGCCTGCTGGTTTTCGGGGCCGAGGGCCCCCTGGGCTGTCTCCGGGATTGCTCTGTGGTCCGAGTCAGGTTTGGTGCCCTGAGTCCGGTGGGTCCCCAGGGAGGCCGCAGCCTCTGGGGGCCCACCTGTGCCTGCCCCGGTGGATCCGAGCCACGACCAGAGCCCCGTGGTGGGGTCCAGTGGCACTGGGTGCAGGGGCTTCCCACCCAGTGTCCCTGTGCCCCGGGACCGAGTGAGGGTGGTGGCCGGTGCCCTCCCCCAGCAGACAGGCGTGAGGGGGGCCTGGCCGGGCCCTGCTGTTGCCTCTGGCCTGGTTCCCTTTTCCTTGTGGTTTCTCCCCTTCCTTCTGGTCTGTGAAACCTGTTGTGCGCACTCGTCATCTGCGGCCTTTCCTTCTGAGACCGGAGTGTAAGTTGGTCACAACTGTGACCAAGGAGAAGCCACATCGTGTTTCTGTATCACGAGGAACAAACAAAGCTGGGTTAGCACGTGACTGCGTCATGACTGCTCATTAGCGAGGCGGTCCCCGGCGTCCCGGGCCCGCCGTCCCGTGCGAGGCAGCCCCCGGCGTCCTGTGCCGGGAGCGGCATGCCCGCGGGGCCGGTGTGCCGTGGTGTGGACGTGGTTGGCGCGCCGGGCCGCCAGGCGCAGTCCCGACGGCCGTGTGTTTTTATCAGATGTAGTAAGGCGAGAAAACGCCGACGGCCCGGGGGCGGGGGGCGGCCGGGGCGCTCGAGGGGCCGCGGTGTCACGAGCCTGCCGTCCCACAGGTCACCAACGAGATCACGCCGGTGCTGTCCTACTCCTACCTGGCGGTGCTGGTGCCCGTCTTCCTGCTCACCGACTACCTGCGCTACAAGCCGGTGCTGGTGCTGCAGGGCCTGAGCTACATCTCCGTGTGGCTGCTGCTGCTGCTGGGCGACTCCGTGCTGCACATGCAGTTCATGGAGCTCTTCTACAGCCTCACCATGGCCGCCCGCATCGCCTACTCCTCCTACGTCTTCTCGCTCGTGTGCCCGGCCCGCTACCAGCGCATGGCCGGCTACTCGCGCACGGCCGTGCTGCTGGGCGTCTTCGCCAGCTCCGTGCTGGGCCAGCTGCTGGTCACCGTGGGCCGGGTCCCCTTCTCCACGGTCAACTACATCTCCCTGGGCTTCCTCACCTTCAGCCTGGTCCTCGCCCTCTTCCTGAAGCGCCCCAAGCGCAGCCTCTTCTTCAACCGCGCCGCCCCCGCGCGCCACGGGGCCTCGCCCTCCGAGCTGGACCGCATGAACCCGGCCCCCTCCCAGCCCGCGGACGCCAAGCCGGGCCGGGTGCCGCTGGGGGCCTGGCGGGACTGGACCCTGGTGCGCATGCTCCGGGAGCTGGGGGACCACCTGCGGCTGCCGCAGCTGCGCCTCTGGTCCCTCTGGTGGGTCTTCAACTCGGCCGCCTACTACCTGATCGTCTACTACGTGCACATCCTGTGGAACGTGGTCCACCCCACCACGGACGCCTCCTCCGTCTACAACGGGGGGGCGGACGCCGCGTCCACCCTGCTCGGTACGCCCACGGCCCCGCCGGTCTCGCCCGCCCCGCCCGCCTCCCCAGGACGGCCGTGACTCGCCCTGTCTCCCCAGGTGCCATCACCTCCTTCTCCGCGGGCTTCGTGAAGATCCGCTGGGCGCTGTGGGCGAAGCTGGTCATCGCGGGCGTGACGGCGGTGCAGGCTGCGTTGGTCTTCCTCATGTACAGCACGAGCAACATCTGGCTGTGCTACGTGGCCTTTGTGCTCTTCCGTGGCGCCTACCAGTTCCTGGTGCCCATCGCCACGTGAGTTGACTGGAGCGGGGTGGGCCGTGTGAGGCCGTGGTCTGGGTGGCCGCTTAAGAGCCAGAGCTACAGCCTGGCCGGTGGCGGGTGGCCGGAGGGCCACACGCCTTCCTCCTGCTCGCTGGGAATGGACAGGCTGCCTGCATGTGTTAAGAGGCCTCCCTTCCAGAATGTTCTGTGGGGAGCAGAGGGGGCACGTGCAGGCAGCGTGGAGCTAGCGGGGCGGTGTGCTCTCTTACCGGGAGGAACAGTGAACCTAGCGTGCCCCCCCGCTAGGGGCCCAGCTGTCCCTTGTCCGTGGCACAGCTTGTCCCGGCTTTCGTGACCCCGAGCTCGGCACGGAGCCTACCACGTGTGGCATCGGCATCCCTTCTGCTTCTCCCGTGGCGGCTACTTGGTGTCCACAGTTACCAGCCCTTGTAATGTCCTTCCTCCCTGCTCCCTGGCCTGTTTTTGAGGCCCCGGGCGCTGCTGTGGCCCTGACTGTGGCGCGAGGCCCTTCTTGTCCCTTTCCGCGGCAGGGCACGGTGACACATAGCCAAGGAGTAGCCAGGTGCTGCCCTCAGCCCACTTGTGCCTTCCAGAACTTTCTCCAGCCCACGTCTTGCTTGCTCCTAAGATCCTCTGTGTATTCCTTTGAACTGACCCTTTCACGAAGCTGTATGCTGTTGCCACACACGTTCACACCAATTGTGCCCACGCCCCACACGTGTAGGAGCCTCCCTCCCTTCCTCCCTCCCTCCCTCCCTCCCTCCCTCCCTCCCTCCCTCCCTCCCTCCCTCCTTGAGCTTCCTGCACCCAAGGTCGGCTTGGGTCTGTTACCAGCTCCCCTGCCCGGCCCTGGTTCCCCTCTGGGCCTCACCCCTCCTGGTCACCCCTGATCAGATCATCTGTCCGCACCCGATCTTGAGCTCACATGGCATCCTCAGGCTCCTAGCTCCTTGGTGTCGCCTCACGGAAGTGCCAGTCCCCAGCTTTGCTCTCCACACTCAGTCCACACCTGCCCAGGCGTCCCTCCTCTTCTGTTGGGGAGAGCCGAGCTCTGCCAGACGCCCCGGGGACGGTTTCCTCGGAAGACGCCCAGCCTGCTCCCCGTGGCCGGGGCCACCTCCCCTGACGGCCCCCTGTGTGGCCCGCTGGTCCTCCCTGCCTCCTGTCCCTCCTCGCCCTCTCTCAGCCTGCAAATGTCCCCAGGGCGTCTCGTTGGCCAGGAGCACCACGGTCAGCACCGGAAAGGGCTCCGGGTCATCTGCTGTGACTGCTGTGCACTCGATACATCTCCTCCTTGGACGTTTGTGCTGATTGTAGGAATGCAGAAAGGGTGGGATACGACGTGGGCTGGCGTGGAGAACGGCCCTTCTGGCTCCACCGCCAGGCCTGCTGCGGCCGTCGGGGTGTCTGGGCTGACCCGGGACCATGCTCGTCGCGCTGCAGCCCTGCCCCGCACACTTAGCTGTGTGCTTCGGTGTCACAGGTGCAGACGCAGTCGGTCCTCTCGGTCCTCTCGGTGATGCTGTACGGCTGGTCCCCAGGTGACTGGGATGCCACGTGCGATGTTTCCCTGCGACTGAGAGCCCTGAGGTCGATAGCCCCTCATCTGCGTTTATTCCTCCAGATTCTGATGGCCGCAGATGGGTCCCAGGAGGGACTGGCCAGGCGGGGGCACGTGCCCTAGAAGACGGTAGATCCTGGGCGGGCACACGGTGGCCCTGTGGGCCCCTTGCCTTTCGTAGGGACAGTTTGCATCTGGCCTCTCCTGCTGGGTTCTGTACTGTCCCTCGGGCAACCCGGATGTGGTGGGAGCTTCTCGCCGTGTGCCCCTTGTCACGTCTCAATTGCTCCCACCCGGGGCTGTGGAACACAGGAGACACGCGGGGCAGGTGGCCAGGGACCCGGCCCAGCTTGGGTTTCCTCACTCTGCGTCAGTCTCGCTGCTGCTCATGCGGGCGGGGGCCCTTCCTCGTTCCCCACCCAGCACAGCGGCCCCTCCGCTTCTGTCACCCTCTTGAAAGGCTTCTTGCGTATTTTCCTTCATTCTTCAGAACTTCGGAATGTTTTTTTATCCAGTTGTTTTTAGAGGCACCTCGGGGATTTTCGCGGAAGCACCTTCAAATGTTCACTTTTCTGCAGAGGACTGGGAGCCGTGTGCATATTCGTTCCTCTTGCGTTTTCTTGTTTGTTTTACTGTTCTGCCCCTAATTTCTCGAGTCGTGAAAGAACAGTGATTCCAGAACCCTCGTGATTTCTGCCTGTTCTCACGAGGCTCTCGGGCCTCTGTTTACTCTGTCCCGGAATTACCAGGAGATGTTCTGGACGTCTTCCCGGGGTGTGTGTTGTCCTCGGTGTTGCACGCACACAGCTTGCGCAGGGCTTGGAGCGCCGCCTGGGTCCCGGGCCGGTCGTGCCGGTTCCCTTTGTGCGGTGGGCGCGCCCCGTGCGGAAGCTGCGTCTGAGCTCGGCTGCTTTCCCATTCAGCTTTCAGATCGCGTCCTCTCTTTCTAAAGAGCTCTGTGCCCTGGTGTTCGGAGTCAACACATTCTTCGCCACCGTCCTCAAGACCATCGTCATCCTCATCGTTGCCGACAAGCGGTGTCTGGGCCTCCCGGTGCGCTCGCAGGTGAGTCCCTTTCAGCCTCGCATCCTGGGGACGGAAGCCTCTGGAGGGGTGTTCGGCCAGCGGCATCTCCCCCTCCAGAGGGTCTGGGTCCGCGGGTCCGCTGCAGGGGCGGCGTGGGCAGGGTGGGCTGGGGCAGAGCAGGAGCAGGGAGGGAAGGGTCAGCTGTGGTTGGGCTGCCCCGTCCCGGGGGCCCAGGCTGGGGCCGGGCAGGCCCCCTGGTCTGGGTGGTGCACAGCCAGCCCTGCTTAGGCTGCTGGGGCCCCCGAGGCCGCCCAGATGCAGGCCCCCCTGAGCAGCCCCCGGCGTCCCCCACACCGGCTGATGTCCCAGGAAGGACAGAGGTATGGCCGTGAGCCCCTCCCTGTGTGGTTACAGCTCACCGCCCGTTTGAGGTCTCCGCCTTTGATGTCAAAACCTATCCGGCCTGGGCCCTGACCCTCACTTGAGCTGTTTTTTGTCCGCAAGACAGGAGAGTGGACCTGGAGTTGACCTGGGTGCGCGCGGGCCCCTGTCTGGTCCCTCCCTCCATCCAACTCTGGGCGGGTCCTCGGTGCTTCTGAGAAGAGCTTGAGAGTTCTGTCCCCTGTGAGGTTGGGGGATGCTCCCACGTGTGACTCTGGCTAGTCTCGGCCACAGTGCGACCCCTCGGGCAAGCTGGAATTAGCCAGAGGGCGGGCCCGCAGGAGGGAGGCAGCCAGGCTCCTGGGGACCACCCCGCCCCACCCGTGGCCGGACACGTACCCTGAGCCTGGGGGCATGCAGCCTCCCGTCTGCCTGGAGCCTGGACCTCAGTGGGCTTGGGCTCCCTGGAGAAGTCCCGGCCTCTGAGCTGAGTTGGCACTACTTTGGTGACCCCAGAGTTGACTGGAAAGAGGCGCCGGGCGGGGACAGACCCGCCGTTTCTTGTTTGGAAATTGGCCTGCGGGGTTTGAAAACACTGGTTAGGAGAAGAACATGTGAAGCGCTTGCTCCTGTCTGCCGAGCGCCCCCCTGTGGATGTGCTCTGTGTGGTAGACTGTGCTGGGAGCAGCCGGCATCCAAAGTGTGCGTTAGTCGTGTTACTGGTGGAGTTGCCGGGCCACGGGAGGTTGTTACTAAGTTGGGGGGCGTCCGGAGTTCTGTGCGGCCCCGCACCCGTATGCCTGTGGGGTCGGTGATATGAGGTCCGCGCGTTCTGTGCCTCTCTGGCCCATCTGTCCATCCTGATGGGGTTTTTGCAGAGCAAAACTTCCAGATTTGATCAGCTCTGGTTTACCTGTTTCTCCCTTTATGGGTCTGGGCTTGGCGTCACGTGGAAGAACTTTTTGTGTGGCCCGGGCTCTCGAGAGTCTTCCCCAATCTCTTTCTTAAAGTTTCATGGGTTTACCTTTAAGTCTGACCCACGCAGAGTTAAGTTTTGTGTGAGGTCAAAGGCCGCCTCTGTCTGGACGGCCCGTTGCCCTGCCCCGCTTGTCGAAGAGACCGTCCTTTCTCTGTCCAACTGCTGCCTCACTGTTGTCAGAATCGCGTTGCGCGTGTTTGTGCGGGTCTGTTTCTGGGCTCTCGGGCCACCCACGGAGCTGGACACCTGCCCGTCCGCCACCGCCACCGGGTCCTGCTCGCCAGCTCCACGGTGAGCTCTGAAATTGGGCAGACTGATTGCCCCAGCTTTGAAGCGTATTTTCAGGATTGTTTCCACCTTCTAGTTTCCTTGCCTTTCTCTGTAAGTTTTATTTATTTTTTAAAACTTTTTTAAAGTTTATTTTGAGAGAGAGAGAGCAAGCATTGGAGGGGCAGAGAGAGGGAGAGAGAATCCCAAGCAGGCTCCACACTGTCATCACGGAGCCCGACATGGGGCTTGAAGCCACAAACTGTGAGATGACCCGAGCCGAAACCGAGAGTCGGACGCTTAACCGACCGAGCCACCCAGGCTCCCCCGCCTTTCTGTGTAAATTTTAGTCAACTTGTCTACCTACAAAAATTCTTGCTGGAATTTTGCTGCGACTCACAGTAAGCCCGTGTCTGTTCGGGGAGAATTGGCATCTTCGCTCTGTTTCCAGTCTGTGAACGTGGTGTGTGTCTGCATTTGTGTGGAGAGTCCTTGGTTTCCTCTCGCATCTTGCAGTTTCCGGCAAACGAGTATTGTACGTGCTTTCTTAGGTTTATGCCTAAGTATTTCATTGTGTTTTGAGCAATTGTGAGTGGTAGTGTATTTTAACATTCGTGTCCACACTCGTCTGCCGGGGCTGCCATATGGAAGCACCAGACGCTGGGCAACTCACAATCCTGGAAGCTCAGAGTCTAAGGTCAGGGTGTGCGCAGAGCTGGGTGCTCCCGAGGGCTTGCTGGCACGTAGACGTCGTCTTCTGTGTCCTCATGTGAACTTTTCTCCGTGTGTGTGCACGTCTGGTGTCCCTCTCTGCTTCCAGGAACAGGGGTCACATTGGATCAGGGCCCACTGTTATGACCCCTCTGACCTTAATTACCTCTTTGAAGGCCCTGTCTCCAAACACAGTCCCATTGGAGGTGGGGGCCTGCACACATGGCTTCGGTCCAGCAGCACCGTGTGCTCGTTGAGAACACGTAGGGATACACCCGATACTCGGGTGTTGGTGTTTTATAGCCTTGCTGTGGCCATTCGTTAGTTCCAGGAGGTGGTTTGTTTTTCATATGCTTTTTCTTTCCTTTTCTTGCCTTACTGCGGCTGGCTCAGACTTCCTCCTTATTGTTTCCTTCTTTTTACTTGCTTTAGATTCATATTCATCTTTTTCTAGGTTCTTGAAATGGGAATTTAGATCAATGACCCGAGGCTTCTTTTTTATTTTATTTTTATTTTAGAGAGCACGCGAGCAGGGGCGAGGGGCAGAGGGAGAGAGGGGATCTTAAATGGGCTCCGCGCGAAGCGTGCCCAACACGGGGCTCGGTCCCAAGACCCTGGGATCATGACCTGAGCCTAAATTAAGAGTCAGATGCTCAACCGACTGGGCCACCCGGGTGCCCCTTGAGGCTTCTTCTCTAACATTCGCATTTAGTGCTGCGCGTGCAGTCCCCTCTCCTGCCGCTTCAGCCGCGTCCCACAGATCGGGAAGCTGCATTTTCATTTTTGTTCATCTCAGTGTATCTTTTTATTTCTCTTTGACCTATAATTATTGCAGATGGTCTTGTTTGGTTTCCAAGTGTTTTGAGAGTTTCCTGTTATCTTTGTTGTTGATTTCCATTTTGATTCTATTTTGTGATCAGTGAATACAGTCTATCTGATTGCAGTCCTTTTAAATTTGTTGAGGTTTGTTTTCTGGCCCAGGATGTGGTTTATCTTATTATATGTTATGTGGGACCCTTGAAAAGAATGTGAATTCTCCTTTTGTTGGGTGGAGTGTTTTATAAATTCCAGTTAGATCTGATTGATGGTGGTATTGATTTAATCTGTCTCCCTGTGGATTTTGTCTCATCCCATTGTTGAGAGAGGAGTGTTGGCATCTCCATCCTTAATTGTGGCTTTCATCGTTTCTGCTTTCAGTTCCATCGTGTTTTTCTTCACGTGTTTTTAGGTCTTTTGTTTGTTGCACACACCTTGGGAATTGTGGGGATTGCAGTGTGTTTTGATGGATTGAGCTTTTGATCATTATGAAATGTCCTTCTCTGCCTCTGGTCATTTTCTTTTCTCTGACGTCTACTTCACCTAATATCAACATAGGCACTCCTGTTTTCTTTAAAAAAAATTTTTTTTTAAATGTTTATTTTCGAGAGAGAGAGAGAGAGTGCACAAGCGAGCAGGGAGGGGCAGAGAGAGATGGAGACACAGAATCCGAAGCAGGTTGCAGTCTCCCAGCTGTCAGCAGAGAGCCCAACGCGGGGCTCGAACTCACGAACCGTGAGATCATGAGCTGAGCTGAACTCATACGCTTAATTGACTGAGCCACCAGGTGCCCCTCTGTTTTCCTTTAATGAACATTTGTGTGATACACATTTTTACATCCTTTTACTTTTTACCTGACTGTATTGTTATATTTGAAATGAGTTCCTTGTAGACTACATATGATTGAGTCATGTTTTATCATCTATTCTGCAAACGTCTGTCTTAAGTGGTGAACGTAGGCCATTTATGTTTAGTGAAATTATTGACGTGTTAGAGTTTACATCTGCCGTATCATTTTCTGTTTTCCTTTTCTTCTCCTTTGTATTTTCTGTGCCTTCCTATGGATTGTTTGCACATTCTTTAGAGTTTCATTTTATTTATCTGTTGTGTTTTTGAGTGTATCTCTTGCTATAGCTTTTTTGATGGCGACTGTGTGTTAAATAACCTATTTGAGCGAAGTATAGAAATCTTATCTCCTACCATGTCATTCTACCTTCCACTGTTTTTATTTATTTATTCATTAAAAAAAATTTTTTTTTGAATGTTTATTTTTGACAGAGAGAGAGGGAGAGAGCGAGCATGAGCCAGGGAGGGGCAGAGAGAGAGGGAGACACAGAGTCCAAAGCAAGCTCCAGGCTCCGAGCTGTCAGCACAGAACCCGACATGGGGCTCAAACTCACGAACTGGGAGATCATGACCTGAGCCGAAGTCGGACACTCAACCGACTGAGCCATCCATCGCCCCTACCTTCCACTGTTAATAGTATAGTTGTCTCAAGTATTTTCTCTACGTATCATTACAGCCATATAAGTTAGGGTTCCAAATTTTGCTTTAACTATCAAACACTTAGAAATTTCTAGAAGAGAAAGAAAGGCTTCTGTTTACCCATGATTTGGCTCACTGTGTTTTGTCTTCCCCGTTGATCCAGGGTTTCTTCTTAATGATTTCCTTTCTGTTCAGAGAATTCTCCTTTAAGCCCTTCTTTTAGGGTAGGTCAGCTGGTGACAACTTCTTCTGTTAGTTTTTCCTTTTTCTGAGAATCTCTTGATTTCCTTTTCATTCCCAAAGGAGATGATACTGGATATAGGCTTCTAGGCTGATAGTTTTTTCTTTTAACTCTGAAGAAAAATGTGTCACATCCTTGTGGTCTTAACTGGCTTCTGATGAAAAAGTCCACTGCTTTTCCCTTAAGGTGTTGCTTTTTCCTGGCTACTCGCAAGGCTTTTCTTTTTCCTTTGCCTTTAGCTTCTTCAGAAGTTTAAATATGGTGTGTGTTGGTCTGATTTTCTTTGGGTTTGTCCTGTGTGTGTGGTTCCCTGAGCATCTTGAATCTGTAGGTTTATTTCTCACCAAATTTGGAGAATTTTTAGCCACTATTTCCTCAAGTTTTCCAGCCCTATCCTCTTTCTTTTCGTGGGATTCGCATGACACAACATCACATCTTTTGTCACATAAGGGAATGAAGCTCTGCTTAGGATTTCTTTTTTTTTTTTTTTTTTTTTTTTTTTTTTTTTTTTTTTTTAGTCTTGTTTTCTCTCTGTTTAGATTTGGTGATTTCCATCGCCCCATCTTCCAGTTCGTTGATTGTTTTCTCTGTCCTGTCTGTTCTGTTCTGTTGTTGAAACCATTGAGTTTTTAGTTTGGTTATTGTGTTTTCAATTCTAGCTGTTCTTTGTCTCTTCCATTTCTTTTCTTAGAGTTTTTGACCTATTCCAAGAGTGTTCATGCACGGTGAAACAGTTTCACCATGCTGTGTTAAAGTCTCTCTCAGATAACTTTAACATCCCTGTCGTCCCTGTGACGGCATCTGTAGATTGTATTCATTCAGTTAGAGGTCTTTGTGGTTCTAAGTGATTTTTTTATTAAAGCCTGGACATTTCGGAGATTATGTTAAGAGATCTGCATCTTACTGAAACCTTCCACTTTAACTGCTTTTTCCTGACACTGCTCCAGCAGAGGAAGTTGGGGACATGTGCCTTGTTACAGCCAGGCGGGTGGAAGTTCAGGCTCTGTGCTCAGACCTCCTGACCAAGAGGGAGCTGGGGGGGCTCCTCCCTCCTCCTGCCTGCCTGGCAAGGACGGGGGTTCCAGTTCTCCCCACCTGGCTTCCAGCCTCCAGTGGTTACAAGGCGGGGGGTGCCTTGTGACCGCTCCCACATGGCCTCCAGTGACGCCACCGGGGATGGGGTGTTCTCCCTGCTGCTGGGCAATGGTACGAGTCCTCGACCCACAGGGCTGGGGTTTGGGGGTTGTTACCGCCTGGGGAGAGTGAAAGTCCAGGCTTTCTGTGTGGTTTCTGCCGGGGTGAACTTTCCAGCTCCCCACTGGGCCTTCACCACCATCTGACGGGGGCCCCATTGTAGTCTGGGTAATGAGGGTGGGGTTCAGCCATTGTAGGGCTGTTCCCTCTGTCCGTTTCCTGTCCTGATGGGCTGTCCCTCTCCAGTCCCAGTCCTTTTGCTGGAAAGAACAGCTTTTATTGTTTTTTTTTGTTTTTTGTTTTTTTCCCCCTTCATTAGCTGGCATTTCTGGGTTGCTGGTTTTTTGTTTTTGTTTTTTTTTAATTTTTTTTAATGTTTATTTATTTCTGAGAGAGACAGAGACAGAATGTGAGTGGGTTGGGGCAGAGAGAGAGGGAGTCACAGAATCCGAAGCAGGCTCCAGGCCCCGAGCTGTCAGCACAGAGCCCCATGCGGGGCTCGAACTCACGAGCTGTGAGATCATGACCTGAGCTGAAGTCGGACGCTCAACCGACTGAGCCACCCAGGCGCCCCTGGTTTCGTTTCTAAAATTACAGCACAAAATTAGAAAAGCCCGGGGGACACATTGGTGTTTGTTCTCAGCCTCCAGGGCTCCTAGCTGGTGAACTGCCTTCGTCTGTGTGCTCTGTGTGTAACGTCCAGAGCGTCAGCCGTACCTGGGGGAGGAGTGGGGAAAACACATCCGCTCCATCTGCCTGGAAGCAGTGTCCGTCATGGTTCATTTCCCGGTTTTGCTTGTGAAGATGAGCTTTTCCCAGAAAGGCACGGAGAGGGGCCTGCGGGGAGCGGAGCGCCAAGGTCTCGGGCAGGACCCACGCCTGGTCTGGCCTGCAGACGCCCGGAACCGCCTGGACTGCCTGTCCCGGCGGTCACGAGACTCAGGAGGGACGTTCCCACGTTCTGGGCGCTCCGCGCAGCTGCACCGATCCCCGGGACAGAGACTGGCTTGGGGCTTGCGTCTGGGCTCTGCCGTGTGGGAAGTTCCCGCACACGCTTGTCCTTGTGCCCTCGGCAGCCGTGGGAACTTGGCCCACAGAATGAAGCTCATGTTTGTTATCTTAAATCGAGCGGAGCATCTTGGGGTAGATCACAAGGGCCACGCGATGCAGGGAAACTGCCAGGGCTTGTGGGAAAGCGGTGGGGGCCCCCCCAGGGCTCGTCCTGGAGCAGGGCAGAGGGCGGGCCCTGCCCACTGCGGAGACCTGCTCCTGGCCTGTCCCCCGACCCTCGGGCACCCAGCCCCACTCCTGCAGTGTTCCTATGGCCTCAGCGGGAGGAGGGAGAGCCGGGGAGGAATCCACAGGCCCCTTCCCGCCCCTGCCCCTCACCTGCCTGGGCTGACCTCACCCCTACCCCTCTCTGTTCTAGTTCCTCGTCTACTTTGTGTACTTCCTAGTGCTGTTCATTGTCTACCTCTCGGCGGCCATGCTGGTGATCCTGCGGCACCTCCGGGAAGGCCGCCACCCACCCCCAGCCCTGCCCCCGCCCCAGGAGGAGAAGGCCGAGCAGGTGCTGAGCCTGCAGGACAGAGGCCTCAGTGGCCCGAAGCCGGAAGCCCCCCCGCCGGCCCTGGAGGACAGCGTGTGGACAGCAGGGTTGGCCTCTCGGGAACAGAACCAGCAGCCCGAGGCCAAAGCCTGACCCAGCCCGGCCTAGCGGGAGGCCAGGCTCCTCTGGCACCGGAGGCAGCCGGTGCACCGTGCTCCGCGTCATGGGGCCTCGATGTCTCAGAAGGGATGTCTCTTCGCAGCTGGCCCAGGACCCGGGTTCCAGCACGGTCCACATTCCAGTGTGGAGCCAGGGACTGACGGGGACCCTAGGTGGGATATCCCTGTGACCCACACCCCGAGGGCTTGTCTGGCGATGGCCCTGAGTACTGGTTCTCGTCCCCATCCCGCTGCCTGCTGGGGCACTGCGGGCTGGCTTGCTGTCCCTGTGGCGGGGAGGGGGGGTCTCATGTGCCCACCAGGCCACTCTGCCTTCACCCCGCCCCCCACAAGAGGCAGGTCCTGCTTGTTCCTGGGGACCAGTGAGGGGGCCAAGATGCCAGCCTCAGGGACTCAGTCCCCCACAGGGTATCCTGTGCCCTGCAGGGCCAGGCTGGGATCCCTGATTCCCGTAGCCTGTGGCTAAACTTGGTAAGGCCAGTTGTCCAGGTACTTGCCTTAGACTATGTCCCTTTCCTAAAGAAAGTTGACCCAAATGAGAAGCCTCGGTGGGCTTCTCTTTCCGGGCGAGACGCCAGGCATTGGCTGCTGGCAGACATTTGCCCGTCAGGTGGAAGCAGGGATGCAGGGGCCCTGGAGCCCCGCTTCTCCCCCAGCGGGCTAACCCTGACCTACCTCACTGGTGACTGCGGACCGCTTGGGGTCACTCGCCCACGTGCCGGCCCACACGGGACCCACCCTGAGCACACCGCCTCAGATGCAAGACCGTCAGCTCTCCCCAAAATCAAACCCCAAGCCCCACACGTGGAGGGGCTCCTGGTCTTGTACTAACCTGGCGTGGGTGGGGGCGGCTGGTCAGGAGGCCAAGAAGAGGGCCCCGGCCCCAGGCAGGAACCCAAACCAGGCCCCCACGGCCTCGAGCTGAGCACAGCCCCCTCCTACAGCCCTGTCTTGAGAAGCGCCCACGCCCTGCGGGAAGGGAAGGCCAGCTGCTCGGAGCCAGCTTGGTGCAGAGAGGTTGGAGCAGCCCTCCTGGAGAGGAGCTGCCTGCACCCAGGGATCCCTGAGGTCCGCTTGTCGGGGGCAGGGTGTCTCAGGAGGCTGCCCTGAGGCTGCAGGAGGATGCTGGGGGGCGGGGCATCCACAGGGGGCCTCCCCGCTGACTCCCCACCCCACCCACCCCATGCCCCAGGGACCCCGTGGGGAGGGGCAGCGCTCTTCCCCTTCCATGCTCAGGGATCCTGCGGGACTTGGCGGGTGGAGGGCGGTGCCTCTCACCTCTGGTCACTGACCTCATGATGCAGGCCTTTGCTCTTGCCCCCACCCTGACCTGCGAATGCTCCCATCGGTGGGTGGCCCAGCCACCTGGCCCCATGGTGGGTTCCGCGTGCTGCAGCAGCTCTGGGGAGAACATGGGTGCTGGGTCTACACCCCGGCTTGCCTGTGCCGTCCCCAGGGACGCTCCGGAGACAAGGTTTAGGGCACCAGCATCCCCGTGCACGTGTGTGCATCTGACATCCGTGTACATCTAGCCAGGCCCACCTGTGCCCCTTCAGCGGGACCCACCAGCAGGACAAAGACCCCCACGGTCTGTCTCACGATAACGAAGGCTGCTTCCAAACCGAGTGTCCGTGCAAAACGCTGTTTTTATTTGGAGCCTGTTTGGAAACCACATTACACAGTTAGCAGGACCGGCTGCCGTGGTTTACAGGGCAGTGTTGAGACAGCAGACCTGAGGCGCTTGGCTCCGTGCCCACGACCCAGCACAGCCACCAGGGGGGAGGGACCCTGGGGGTGCCCCCAGAATGCCCCCTTCAGAGTGCTTTGTCTACACGGCCTCGGGTCCCAGGGCTCGGCAAGGCCGGTCTCAGGTGAGCCGTGTCCTGGCTGAGGACAGGTGTCGCGATCCTGTTTGCCCCTGTGCCTTGTTTTAAGTAAGCTTCGTGCCCAGCGTGGAGCCCAACATGGGGCTTGAACCCACAAACCATGAGATCATGATCTGAGCTGAGATTGAGTCGGACACTTAACCAACCGAGCCACCCAGGCACCCCTTTCCTCTGTGGTTTTTTGAACTCTGTGTCCCATGAAGATAAACCTGGGGCCCTGGACTCAGCAGGCAGGAGTTCTGGCCGGGCACCTGGGAGTGGGAGTAGGTTTGGGCCCAGTTGGGTTCCGGGATGTGCTCCTGGGCAAGGCTAGGGAAGCCTCTGCTCTGGGAATCCTTGCCTCAGCAAAGGGGTTTTGGACCTGGGCGGGGCCCGGGGACAGGACACTGCCATCCCTGGGTTGTGGGCCCCTCAACTCCTAGCCTGGGGGCGTCTGGCTGGCTCAGTCAGTAGAGCTCTTGATGTCAGGGTTGTGAGTTTGAGCCCCACGCTGGGGGTAGAGATTAAAAATCTCCCCGCAGGGCCTTGGCTGGGTTGAGCTCCACGTGGGAAGCCGGTGTGGGACAGAACTGAAGACGCACCTGCCCCGTGTGCAGGCTGGCTCCCAGCCACCAGCACAAGGTGGTGTTGGGGTAAAGGCCATAGCCTGGGGGGCAGCAGTGGCCCCTGAGTTTGGGGCTGGCTCTAGCCCGGAGGTGGCTGCAGAGGCCAAGGAGAAACGGCCCCACGCTGTGCCCTTGGCCTGAGCTGCCCCAGCAGCTCACAGCTGGGGACCGAGGCCCCACCCGGCCCCCCGCCAGGCCCTCAGGCACGCACACCTCCCCAAGTCAGTATGTTCCTTTGCCTCAGGGGGGGTCTCCCTCCTGTTCTGATTGGGGTCAAAGAGGAAGGGGGCAGGGCCTTGTGCGAGGTGGGGAGGGGCAAGAGAAAGTCTGGGCACCAGGTTTTGTTTTAAACTTTTTAAAAAATACACTCTTTGGTTTCCTTTTATTTCTTGGGGGTTACATGAAACGTGAACCACAGAACCATACAGGAGAGTGCCAGCCAGGTCCCACCCTGGGGGCGGGCAGGGGCAGACACTCCTTAAGGGCGGCTTCCCCGCTCCCCTGCTGCTGGCCTCCCGGCCTGGCCGTCTGACTGTCCATCTGCCTGTCTGAGCCGGCAGAGCCCCTACTTGGAGGAGGAGGTCATGAAGCTGTTCTCGATGCAGAGCACGATGAAGGCGTTGCGGCAGCTCGCGGCTTTCTGCGCCAGCAGCCTGCCCGCCAACAGCGAGGAGGCCTGGCCAGCCGCCGCCGCGTCCTCTGTCCGCCACGTCTCGCAGTAGCTGTCGGTCAGACGGCGCCCGCTGGGGTCCGAGCCGTGCCACACGCTCTTCTGAGGCCTGCAGGAGGCAGCAGCCATCAGCCGCAGGCCCGAGCCCTGACCCCCGGGATCTGGACCACTCCGGGCAGGGGAGGGCGTTTCCCAAAGGCCCCAAGGCCCAAGGTGCGGCTGCCTGTGGGGCCGTCCCTGGGGGCTCCACCTCCCAGAACACACCCCCTGCGGCCTCTGCTGGGGAGCCTACCAGGCAGGATGCTGCAGGACGTCTCTGCCGTCGAAAGAGAAGACGCGGGCCCCGGGCTTCAGCTGGCCCTCGGAGCCGGAGAACAAGGCCTCCCAGCTGGGAAACAGCACCTCGTCCTGGGGAGGGCGGTGTCGCAGGACTTACTCCCGCCCCAGGGACGCCCTGCCGCGGGGCCTCCACCCCCAGGTCTGCGGTGAGGCCACTGCCTCTGGCCCCAAGGCGCGCTGGTGCTCCCCAGCTCCCAGGAAGCACTCGGCGGTGGGAGAGAGGCATGGGGACTGCCCCAGAGACGGTTCCCAGCCCCGGCTCGGAGGTGGCTGCGTGCGAGGGCCCGGCCCTGCCTCCTGCCCCTGAAGGCGCCCCGTGAGATGGGGTGGCTGTGGGGGGTTGGGGACCCCGCCGGACCTCCGCCCCTTGCCCCACGCGGGAGCCCTCACGCACCCGGAGGTTGACGATGGGCACGCCCGTGCGGTCAGCGCGGCGCACGATGCTGTAGAGGTCCTGCAGCCGCGAGGACAGGAAGGCGCGGAAAGTGCCCGCCAGCCCCACGGCGCGCGCCTGCTGAAAGCACTGGAAGTCCGCGCCCCGGATGCCGCGCATGCCGCCCGGCTGGGGGCTGTTGAGTGCGACCAGGTGGAGCTGTGGAGGGGCCGCGGGGGTCAGCCACCAGCCCCGGGCCGGCCGAGGAGCTGAGCGTGCACAGAGAGCCCGCGTGACCGGCCCCGGGGGCCCCAAGAGGACCAGCCCAGCCCCTCGGCCTAGGGCAGCAGGGACCGCGGTGGGCTGGGGGCCAGGGGGTCCAGAGTGGCCGCCGTCAGGCCCCCACCCCTGCCCGGCTCCTCGGGCTCTCCCGCTTCTCGAAGGCCCAGAGAGCCCTCCCATCCCGGCAGCCCTGGGAGTCCGTGGGAGCCGAGGGGCTGGTGGGTCACTCACCACGGGCTGGAAGTCCTGGTGGGTGTGGGTACGGGCGGGCCCGCCGGTGGGGCGAGCCGGCTGGACGCGCAGGTAGGGGCCGTGGTGGGGGGCGCCAGGGTAGGGCCGGGGGTCCGGCAGGTGCGGGGGGCCGGCCAGGATGTCATCCGCCCGCCAGGGCCGCGCCGTGGAGTGGGTGAGCTCCCGCCGGGGGTACGGGTTGCCCTCGTGCAGCTGCACCAGCGGGGGCTGTAGGGCGGCCACCTCGTTGTCCTGCGGACGCAGAGGCAGAGGCAGAGGCGCCGTGGGCGGGGGCTCTGCCCTCCTGTCCGGGCGGCCCTCTCCTCCTGCACCTGCGGCTTGTGCTCTCGTAGGCTGGAGGGGGCGCCCTGCCGGCCTGACGTGCAAAGTGGGTGGCTGGCCCTGCGCTCAGGCACCCCGCCCCGCTCGGGACATTCCCTGACCTTCCAGCCCCCTCACTGCCACCCAGACACGCAAGTTCTCCGCTCCTTACGCCCCGTGCGTCCACCTCAGGTGATCTGCACCGACCCCCCCCTTCCCCTGTCCTCCCCCAGCACCCAGTGCCTCTGACACCCCATGTGCTCTGTGACTAGGCACCTTTCCCTGCTAAGACGATAAAACAGGTTGTCTATCCTCCGTCATCTTTGCCACCTTTCCCCCAGCCCGTGAGCTCCGCAGGGGCCTCGTGTGTCCCGCAGAGGCAGGGGCCTCGTGTGTCCCTCCCTGTCTAAACCAGCGCCTGGCCCGAGACCACACCGAATGAAGGAAGGAAGGAACGAGCGAGGGAGGACTCCCTGGGCTCCGTGAGCGGGCGGACTCGCCGGGAGCCCAGGACACACACTACCTAACGCAGCCTCGGTCCCGGGCCCTTTAAGAAGTGCTGGCTTAGAAGAGCCGCAGCAGTGGGAAACCTGAGTATGTGGGCTCCTCCGTCCCCCGGGCCCCGCGCTCGGAGAGGGGTGGGCAGCGTGGCCCGAAGGGAGGCGGCCTCGTGGCCTGCACACCACCTCCCACGCCCAGCCCCCAGAGCCCCAGGTGTGCCGGGGACGCGAGGCCGTGCTCGGCCTGCCACCGTGGAGCCCCAGCCAGACGTCCCCTGGGCTCCAAGCCCTGAACTCGGCTGCGTCCTTACCGTCCCACGTGGGAGGGGTGTCCGCGCCTCCAGCTGAAAGAAAATGCAGGGGTCACCCCAGCAACCCTGACGCCTGGCACCCCCTCCCCGCCCCAGCGGAAGCCGGCACGGCTACACCCTGGTGCCTGTGCCATCAGCGGGCGCACAGCACCTCACGTGCATCGGCTGTAAGAGGTGGGAGTCACTTCTCTGTAAACCCCAAACTGCTCGGAAGGCCCGGAGTTAAAAAATAAACGTGAGGAGGGAGCACGGTCACTGCATGAGGCGCTCACCCCACAGGACAACCGAGACCAAGGCTCAGGCTCGCTGTGGGGGGCCCCCTTCCCCCCCACATGCTCTCCTGAACCCCAAGCAAGCTCGAGAAGGTCTCCTGCCCCTTCCCCGTGCAGGTAACTCACCAGGACCTTCCGGAACCCATTCCGGACCCGGACGTACAGCTCCTCTGTCTCAGCCACAAAGATGAGCCAGCCCTCCGGAACCTCTGGCACCTTGTCCAGCATGGTCTGGTACGTGGCCCAGATCCTTACCTGCTGGAAGCCCGACCCAGTGGGTGCCCTCGCACACAGGCAGTGTCTGGGCTCATGGGGGGTGGGGGGAGGACACTTCCGGATGAGGGACAGTCCTGAAGGCCTAAGTGTGTTCCTTTCTCGATCAGGCTGTTCCCTGAGAATGCTCTGTGGCACCGGGACGGTGAGGCCACCCTCGGGGAGGGCTGGATGCCAAGTGCCCACGTGCCCGGTGAGCCCTGCTGGGGACCCTTCTTAATGGCTGTCCTCCCTTGTCCTCCCCTGCCCACCCAAGTCCCACGGCCACCCCCAGGCTCCCCGTTTTCTGCTTTGCAAACCACATCTCAGGGCTGCCGTGCATCTGTGCATGGGGCAGGGCCAGGCCCAGTGCTGGGACCCTCCGGAGCAGGCCACCCACAGGTCTGCAGAGGGGAGGGCGGCCGGGCAGGCGACTGGGCAGCAAGCATCTGACCGGTAAGGAACACGGGGACCCTTACCCCTGAGGAGGTGCCCATGGTTCCAGGGGGTCCGGGGGGCCCAGGTGGGCCTGGGGGGCCGGGAACACTGATTGCTGCAAGAGAAGAGCCAGAGATGGGAACGCATGGCCCTGGCTGGACGAGGCCGGAGACCAGGTACCCGCCCCTGCTTGACTTACTCTGCCTGTAAGGGCCGGGGAAGGAAGGGGGCCCTGGGGGCCCAGGGGGGCCGGGGGGGCCAGGAGGCCCCTGACGCCCCTCATGGCCGATGCCAGGGGGCCCCTGAGGTCCAGGTGGGCCTGGCTGGCCCCGAATGCTCTCTCCCTTGGGACCCTAGGGGAGACAACAGAACATGTGGCAGAGGCCCTGCGGGGAGCCCCCTGCCTGCCCCCACGATGGCCGGGGAAACCTGGCCTCCCACATGGTGTGCTCTGTGCTGGGAAGGGATCCCAGAACACGGACCAGAGCACGCCCTGGACAGAGGTTCGGTCCCCCGAAGGCCCTCGTTCCCCCTCCATCCCTCAGGCAGAAGCTGGGGCCTGTGCCCCCCGGAATCTTTTAGGGCAGATGGTCTCCCTGAGGGAGGGCTGGGTGAGGGCCCCTATGCCCCCCATTCTCCTGGCTGGCTGGGGGGGGCCCAGGCCGTGACCCACCAGGCCTGCCCCGTGTCCCCCCCTGCCAGGAGTGGGGGCAATCTTTTGGGCCTTGCAGGCATCCACAGCTGGGCTGGACCTGGCCCAGGACGTTGGGGACACGGGCTCTGGCTCGGGCCTGCAGGCAGCCAGGAGTCCAGACTTACCGGAATCCCAGGGTAGCCTGGCGGGCCGGGGGGGCCGGGCACACTGGAGCCGAAGAATCCGCCACCCCCGGGCTCACCCCGTTCGCCCTTCTGCCCCGGGTCTCCTCTATCACCCTTCTCCCCCTGTGGATGGAAATGCGGTCTGAGACAGCCCGGCTCCCGCTGCTGACCTGGGAGGGGCAGGCCGACCCCCGGAAGCCCCAAGTCGGCAGGGTGAGGCAGCCGGAAGCTTCTGGAGCCCAGGGGGTCCGGCACACCCTGCAGGACAGGACTTGTCTCCCCACCTTCTGAGCCCCCAAGGAACCCAGCCAGGGTGGGACAGGCGACGGGGACGCGGGTGACACCCACCTTCATTTCAGCCTCCAGATGGAGGAGGTCGAGCGGGAACTGCCCTGTAGGAGAGATGGGGCGCCAAGGTGAGTGTCTCGGCAGCGCCATGCCCCCCACCTACAGCTGCCTTTGTTGCCTTCTAGAACGTCTGTTTCTGGGGGGCCCCCTGCAGTTTTGTTACACTTTTGTAAATGGCGGCCCCGGAATGTTTTAGGGGTGCAGCAGCAGGACCGGACAGTAAGGCTGGTTCACACCCGTGGCCTCACTGGTGGGGACACAGGAAGACGTGTGTCACCTCGTGATGGGAGTTCCAGGACGCGTCTGGCGGCTCGGACGGTTCCCCGTGACGCCCGCCTGCCTCTGGCGGCCACAGGTCTGACCTCCTCTTGTAATGGCACCTTTTTAGAATTTCTTTTTGTTTATTACCAGTTGATTTTTGTGAATCGCCCCTGTGACCTTGGTAAGTCTACCTATTAATTGCAACGGTATGTTCTTTTGGGTGGTTGATGTTCCCAAACCCGTCTGTACAAATGGCAGGTACTTCTTCCTTCGCAACCCTCCCCACCCTCCCGGGGCAGCGGCCACCACCCTGAGCACCAGCCACCCTGCAGCCCTAGCGAGGGTGGAGGCGGAGCAGCCCTTTGCCCCTCGCTCGCTGGCTCGCTCGCTCGCAGGGCTCCCTCCTTTCTCCGTCCTGCAGGGGGCGTGCCAGGATTAGCGGTCTTTCCAAAAACTACCTTGACTTGCAAATGGTTGTTCACTCAGCTTGAGCTGTAGCATTTCTTCCCTTTTCTTTGCTTTTCTATGTTAATTTTACTTTATTTTTTAACATAATTTCTTGTCAAGTTGACTGACATACAGTGTGCACAGTGCGCTCCTGGTTTTGGGGGTAGATTCCCGTGACTCATTGCTTCTGTACAACCCAGTGCTCATCCCAAACAGTGCCCTCCTCAGTGCCCATCTCTTTTGTTAAAGGTAAATTTGCTATTTGTTTTCTGACTTCTTGAGCTGAGTGCTGAGAAACATGTCCCGCTTGAGGCTGTGAGTTCCTGAACAGTTAACAGGACCCGTGGCCTGGGGCCCAGCTAGGCCGGCCGATGGGTGCGTGGCCCCCATCTGGGGGCGGGGGTGGTCCTGCTGCCGCGGGGCCGCTGCGGCCACGGACTCGGCCGGGGCCTCACCACCTTCCACCTGCCGGTTGTGAGTGGTTCCTCCTTTTCTGGAAGGGAAGTGCGCTGCTCTGGGGTCATCTTCCAGGTGTGTCTGTGACGCTGACTTCCTGCTCGCTTTCTGCCAGGCGAGGGCCCGTGTGGTGGAGACAGGGTCCCCGTGTTGCTGCCAGGGCCCCAGGGCCCCAAGGCCAGGTCGGGAACTCCGTCTCCTGCCTGAGCTGTTCTTTGTGAGCTGGTGCCGTCACTTCCTGAGAGCCGGCCATACCCCCACGAGGACGGATCTGTGTCGTCCTTCTCCTGTAGGTTGCTGCTCTTTACGTCTTGAGGCTGCGTTGTTAGAGGCACAGGATTTGGAATTGCTGTATTTTTCTGGTGGGTTTACTCCTTTTTCATAATGGACTTTTTTTTTCCGAGTTTCTGGCAATGTTTCCTGCCTCAAGGTACACTCGTCTGATTTCTCACACACAAACAGATATTTGTACACACACACACACACACACACACACACACACACAGGTGCATTCACAGACGCATGTAGACACACACCCATGCAAAGGTGCACATTCACACACAGGTGCACATGTGCACACACACAGGTACATTCACAGATGCACGCAGGTGCACACACAGCCCCATGCACAGGTGCACACACACACAGGTGCATTCACAGATACACAGGCACACAAAGGCACACATATACATAGGTACATGTATGTGCACAGGTGCACTCACACGTGCACACACAAGAACACGGGCACGCTCACACATACAGGTGCACATGAGCACACAAGCACACAGGTGCACTCACAGATGCACACATGCGCACACAGGGGCATGCACACACACAGGTGCACATTCACGCACACAGGTGCACACACAGGTCCGTTCATAGATGCGGACACATGCACACGGGAGCACACACAGGTGCACATTCAGACACAGGTGCACACACACAGGTGCACACATGCACACACACAGGCTTGGTTTGCCTGCCCCTGTCCCGCATTCAGCTTGTGTGTCTGTCCTCATATTTGCAGTGTCCCTCGTAAGCAGCATATGGTTTTGTTTTTATCCAACTGCCGACGTTTACCTTTAACGGAGTATTCAGTGGGTTCCCGTTCAGTGCACTTACGGACAGATGTCAGTTTGAACCAACTATGTTAAATGTGCCTGGTTCCATCTGCTCTGTGCTCCCTTTTCTCTCCTTTCGTGTCGTCTTCAGGGTCCGGTAATTTTGGTGGCATCCTCGCCGGGCATGCTTAGTTGCGTGGTCCTGGCCCGTCGTTGGCTCCACCCCCGGAAGCGGCGAGGTATGTCCCGCTTCGACCACGCTGAACGAGGGCAGCGGTTCGCTCCTGGGGGTCTCCCCTCCAGCATCGCCTCCTTCTCGAAGGGCCCTTGCCATCTGTCCCGTCCCATCAGGGCGGGTCCTCCGACGGCCTCGCTCTGAAGGGGGTTTCCGCCGACGCACACAGGCCATCTTTACGTCGTCCTGAGGCCTCTTCTCTGGCGTCTGTCTTCCGTGCGGAGGAGTGAGGTCCTGTTGGTCGGTGGAGCGAAGGGCTCCTTCGGCCTCAGAAAACCCTTCACCGTGACGCCTCCAGGTGCTCTCCCGCCGGCGCCCCTGCCCCTGCCCCGGCCCGCGGCCTCCACGCAGACCTCTCTCGCTCCCCTCCCGGTCTCGTCTGCCGAAACTCACGCGGCCTCCTCGGGTCCAGTGGCCGCGCCCCTCCATCCCAGAACGGAACCGGGTTCTTTCCAGGGTCCCGGCTCCCTGCGCTCACCCCCACCTTCCCTTTGCTGGAGCACTGTCGTGATTCAAGCTCCCACCCTGGCTGGCTCTCCTGGGGGCCTGTCTCACCTCTGCTCTCCTGCCTGCATTCCGGTCCGTTCTGGCCATTTTGTTCACCTGCTCAGCCTAAATCGTAGGCCCTCGGTGAGCTCACCTTCCTCAGGGAGCGGCTTCTGCCTCTAGCAGTCCTCAGGGAAAACCCTGGGTCTCAGCCCCGCCCGGCGGCCTGTCTCTGACCCCGCCCTTGCTCTGGGCTGCAGCCCCTCACTGGGGGGGCCCCGGTCGGCCACCCTTTAGTTGTCACTGCCTGGGGCTGGGGGCCCCGGCCCTCTGGGCTTCTGTCCTGCTAGCCCCCAACAGCCACCCTGTCGTTTTCTTCTATTTCATTCAGCAGTGGAAGAATTTGGCAGAGTCGTCCCACCGTCCAGTCCCTCGGAAGGAACCTGTGAGGTGCTAAGACTTCAGCCCCGGGGCAATCGGGCCAAGGGAGGACTCCACGCAGCCAGTGGGAGGGGAGGGTGCCGGGGCCCAGCTCCGCCCTTCAGCCCCGCTGTCCTTGAAGCCCTGGGCCCTGAGGCTTTGGGCCAACTAGGGATCAAACCGCCACAGGTGCCATCGGGCCCCATACGCCTGGAAGGGGTGTCCTTCCTCCAGGAGGGCACGGGTAACCACAGAGGACAGTGCCGGGGACCCACCCCAGCCCAGGGCCGCTTGGAGCACACTCACCTGGTGGTCCTGGTGGGCCCACTTCTCCTTTGTCACCCTTCGGTCCAGGAGGCCCCTGGTACCCTGGAGGGACAGAGACCCAGGAGTGCCCATCATTGAGCTGTGACAGGGCCCTTGGGCCATGCCCCTGTGCCCCGCTCACCCCCAGCCCTTGTGAGTGCTGCGTGCACTAGCCTGGACGGGGGAGGAGCACCACACGAGTTTGGGAGCCTTCAGAGCAAGAGCTTTTGTTGAGCAGAAGCACTCGGGGGTCCCACCCAAGGGGCTGCCCCTGGAGGCCACACCACTCCCGCGGGGCGGGCGCGGGCTGACAGAGCAGGCCCGGGCAGGGGGCAGATCTAAATTCCGCACGCAAGTGGGTGTCTACTCAGTGTCCGGGGCTGTCCCCCGCGAGGCTGCCAGGACGGCCGTGCTGGGACGACCCAGGAGGTCCCGCGAGAGGCCCGTGATCACTCTGGAGCAGGGGACATGGGCCAACGAGGCATTCCTGCTTCCCCTGGAGCCCAGGCTCACAGAAGGAAGTCCTGCGGCATCCAGCATCCCCAAGAGAAGCCACCGCCCCAGCCACCGCGAGGCCCCAGGGGCCCTCACCTGGCAATCCTGGAGGTCCAGGGCGGCCAGACTCCATGAAGGCCTGCAAAGAAGCTGGCCAGTGAGGCGAGGGGCTCTGCGGATTGAGGGCAGCACCACCCCAGCGGTCTCTGAGCCCGGAGCCCCAGCCCTCTGTGAGGCCACACACACACCAGTCCCCCGTAGGAGCATGGGGAGGGGGAGGGGGAGGAGACGGGGGTTTGGAATCAAGAGCCCTGATTGTGATATGACCTGCCCCTTAGGAGTCACTTCATGTGGCTGAACCTTGTAAAACAGGGGTGTCTGCCCCCCAGGACCACATGGCTGAGGTTCAGGCTCCCAGATGCAGAGAGCCCTCACTTCCCCAGGTGGGGTTTGTTTTCTAATGGAGTACTGGCCAGCCCCCTGCCAGAAATTGGGGTGTCCCCTCCCTGGGAGAGGCTGACCCCTCCAGGGGGTGGCTGGTGGATAGGGCCTGTGAGGAGGGGAGTGGGGGTACTTACGTTGCTGTCATAGACGGGAGTCCCGGGAGGGCCTGGGGGTCCTGGAGGCCCCGGGGGACCGGGTGGGCCCTGCATGCGGAAGACAGAACACGAGGTCAGTCACGTTCACAGCCAGGCCATGGATGTGACCAGGGCAGCAGATGTGAGGGGGAATATTTCACTAAATATCTCACTAAAATCAGAAAACTGAACGTGTGTGACAGCATATAATCAGGAAGCATCCAGTTTGGTTGTGGCTGTGGGGCGCCCAAGCACAGCTGCCCCTTTCAGAACGTGCCTGGGGGACGTGGAGAGGGCGACAGGACTGGCGGGGAGCACGGAGACTAACGCAGAGTCTGGGAGCTCATCTGTGTATTTCCACGTTCAAGGCAGAGCCCCAGGAGGCCCAGAGGCCAGCAGGCTGAGCCCATGTGTGAACTTTCATTTACTTATTCACAGAAAGAGAAGAGACAGCCACCCAGGTGGGGTGCAAAGCACTCATTCTGGCAGTGACCTGCTTACTGGACAAAGCACCAGCCTGTGTAACTCACGCTGCGTCAGGAGTGAGACCAGGGCCAGTGAGGTCGTGCAAACCTCAGGACCCGGCCCCGCCTGCCCTGCGGTCGCCTCCTTGCAGTGCCCCACTGAGGCCAAGGACAGAGGGACTGGAGGCAGCACAGAGGTGGGGTGTCGGGCCCCCAGAGGAGCCGCTGGAGGCGGAGCCCTGTCCCAGCACACTCCACGGGGCACACATGCGCCCTTAGGTCAGAACTGACTCGCCGTCCGCCCTTAGGTCAGAAGTGCGCAAAGGATCCCGGCGCCTGTCTTGCTTGTCGAGGCCCGCGACCCGTCTTTGTGTCACTACTTCAGATCGCTGCGAGATGTCACCTCCTGCCTCTTGAGTTTTCACGAGGCAGCAGCCACATTTAGGCCACGGGAGGAAGGAGCCACGATGAAGAACCAGCAGTGATGGCAAAAGCAGAAAAGTGGGGACCGTCTGACACGCTGGCCTCGGGACCCCACGCCCCGGCCCGGGCCGTGGGAGCAAAGTCACCGAGTGCACCTGGCAGCTGGCTGGGTGCCCGGCCGCGGGATCGGGAGCAGGTCCCGTGTCTGGAGGCCCCCTCTTAGGGAGAAACGGATAAAAACACCCAGGCTACCAACATAAACCCTGCTCAGAAGCCGGTGAGGCGCTGAGAGTTGGGCTGTGGTGCTGAGTGAGGGGCCCCACCGGGGGCAGGGGTCACGCCCGGGACCCACGCGGCCGTGCCCTTCCAGAAGAGCCACTCGGGGCCCCTGTCCCCGCAGCTCAGCTGGAGTGTGCGCACACATGTGTGGGGTCCTCGTGCCAGAGGACCGGCCCGGTGTGGTCACGGCGCAGGGCCCTCCACGCCCCTGGGCGTCCCAGCCACGCCGTCCGCCCCTTGGGGGACACTCACCCTCACACCAAAGCCGACGCTGGCATGTCCTGGCTCCCCTTTCTCGCCCTTCAGTCCGTTCATCCCGGGGCGACCCTGGGGCAGGGCACAGGGGCGGTCGCTGCCGGAGCTGGCTCATGCCAGCCTGGCCAGCTCTCGGTCCCCGCCCAGGGCCTCCTAGGGCGCCAGCCCCTCTGGCCCGAGCCGCCCACAAACGGGCTGGGCAGCCCTAAGGCTTCGTCCTGGAGAAGCCGTCCCTAGGCGGGGTGGTCCCTGGGGGCAGGGCAGGGGGAGGAACCGTGGTCTGCGGCCCCCCAGGCCCCCAGGGGCCAGGCCCGAACGAGATCCTGGGTCCTTACCGGCCGCCCAGGGAAGCCAATCTCCCCTTTGTGCCCCGGCCGTCCATACGGACCCTGCAGGAAGGAGGAGCGCCTTTCAGGAGAGCAGGGGCCAGCGTCTGCGGTGGCCTCCCGCCCGACACCTGCCTCCGTGTTCGCCAAGCACGCCCGGATGTACGCTCGGGCCACCACGCCCGCTCAGCGGCCAGGCCGTCACGGCACCTCGTGTTCCGTCACACCGCGCACGCGTGCTCGCGGTGGGAGGCGTGCGCCTACTCACCGGCGGTCCTCGGAAGCCGGGCTCTCCCTGAACAGGAAACCAGAAGGCGCCGTCAGATGGCCGGCGGGGCAGTGCCCGAGGGGCTCCAACCGTGCCAGGGACGGAAGGAAACGGCAGAGGGAGCATGCTCTAGATGGGGGTTTTTGTCCCCAGGGAGCACGGACGAGGCCTGCCGTGGGCCCCCCCCCCCCCGACCTCGGGGCCGGCCTAAGTTCTCTGGGCCCTGAGATCTAAGGTCCCACTGCCCATCCCAGACAACCCTGGGAGACTTCAGGGCCCCTCCGGGCCTGTCCCCCACGGCCACTGAATCTGGGTCCAAGTCCTCCCCGCACCCTCTCAGGGCCTGTCTGGGGGTGGGGGCTGAGGGAGGAGGGCCGGGACCCCTCCACGGTGGCAGCACCCAGAGGCAGAGGGGCAGCTGCATCCTCAGGGAGGGGCGTCTGCAGGTGAGGCCCCTGCTGAGTCCCCCTCCTCCAGAGCCCCCAGCCCCTCGGCAGGGCGGGCTCAGCTGACAGGCAGGGGATAACCAGGGGCCGGCTGGGTGGTGGCCAACCCAGGCGTACGGGCTCTGACCCTCCCAGTGCGGCACTGAGAGAGGGACAGACAGGGAAGGGCGAGGGGCCCAGGCTACAGAAGTTTCCAGAGCCCTCTCAGGAACCCCGCCCCGCCCCAGCCCCCGGCCTGGACAAAGGTGAGCAATCCCAGGCACCGGGCTCACCTTGGCTCCTTTCTGGGCAGGGCCCAGCGTGCCGCCATCGGGGCTGAAGACTGGGCCCGGCTCGCCCTTCTCGCCCTGGAACAGCGGGGTTGACGGCATGAGGCCGGCTCTGGGGAAGGGAGGGCCCTCGACTCCCACAGTAAAGCCCCAACTCGGGGCATGAACACCAACCCCGGAGCAGGTGCATGGTGAGCGGGGTCCTCCCCTCCCTGGGCTCTGCCGTGGGGTGGTCTCCGCGGGGCCTCCATGGGTCACAGTGAGGTGACCGTGAAGAGAACCGGCATCAGACTCGGTCAGGGCTCTCGTGTCCCCATCGTCCCCCCAGGGTCACAGAGCAGATGGTGCCTGAGTCTCTCACCTTGGGTCCCGGGGGGCCCCGCTGGCCTTTGGAGCCCAGATCTCCCTTTGGCCCGGCCGGTCCCTATGAGGAGACAGGAATGAGGGCCACGCGAGGGACCCTGTCCCACCGCGGCCGCCTGGGCACACCTGCCTCCTCGTCCTGACCCACACCCCGAGACCCCGCCCTGGTCCCCGGGGGCTTCTGCGCAGGAGCCTGAAGGTTCCCCGGCTCTGCGGGCACCCTCCGGCACTGGGCTCACCAGGGGCTCGGGGCCGGTGCGAGGAGGGCCGAGGGGCGACTTACAGGAAAGCCCGCGTACCCCGGCCGGCCCTACGGAAGAGAGGGGCCGGGTCAGCTCGGGGCGGGCGCGGAGCCGGCTGTGGCTCCCCCCTGGGACGGCGTGCACGTACCTCAGGTCCCGGCATGCCTGCCACCGCTCTCTGTCCACGGGCCGGCGGAAACACAGGCCGGAGGAGGAAAAGGGAAAACACGTTAGAGTTAAAGCCCAGCTCGCCTCACGGGCCCAAGGAAACAGCACAGCAATCAATGCCCAAGAAAAACTGCGTTCACTCGCCGTCCTGGCTTTGGCCTCAGGTCCCTCAGATCAGGCACTGGAGAAGCTTCCAGAGACCCCGGGGCCAGAGCGGACTGCCGGCATCTGGGAACCCAGGGGGTTCTGATGGGGCAGCTCAGAGGCTGAGGACACGAGGGTCTCAGTGGGAGAGGCCTTGCTCCATTTAGATTTTCTGCTATAGAATTTCCATTTCTCTCCGGTCACCCACTGCCATAACTTTTTTCTCATTCAAATAATTTAAAAGTCTCACCATAATGAGACACCATCGCTGGTCCAGAATAGAACCAAGTGGAAACCCTGGAGTCTTTAGGGGGCACCCGAGGTGGGGGGGAGCCGACGTGGGGTCAGGGACCGGGCTGGCACCCGCCGTGGCCAGTGCCAGGGGGAGGGCCGGGCACAGCGCCTGCCCACCCACGCAGTGTTCTTACGTCCTGCTCCGACACGTAGACGACAGGTCCTGGGGGCCCGGGGGGTCCGGGGAGGCCAGGCTGCCCCACTCCATCCCTCCCTGGGTCACCCTGGAAGAGAAAGCCGGTGTCTGACTCTCAGATGGCTCGCGGGGGCCTCCAGATTGTCCGGGCAGCCCTGGAAGGGACCCCAAGCCCACCCAGGGCTCGGAAGGGGTTCCTGGTGCCCACAGGGTGTGAGGAGGCGCCTGGGCTGGGGACGGCAGTGCTGAGGGCCCCACCTCCCGGCAGGGCAGGCTCCGAGCCAGCACCCCTCAAGGCTTGGCCACGCACGTGCCCGGCCCGCAGACTCCGAGCCCCACTCACTTTCTCTCCCTGGGTCCCTTTTTCTCCTTTGGGTCCCTGCAAAGATGGAAACAGTTCATCTCAAACAGAGCCTGAGCCCCCTTCCTGGAGACCCCACACCACCAGCAGCGGCTCTGAATGGAGACGTAGAGAGTTCTTCCTGGGAAAGGGGGCTGAGCCAGGCAGGAAGCCCGGCGGGCAGCCTGGACCCCCTGCCCACGGAGCCGGGGTCTCTGAGCCCTGTGGGCTACAGAGCACTGGTCAGGACCCCGAGACCACACCGAGGTGTCAGCCTCATCAGCCGCTCGGGTGGTCCGCTCCCCCACCCCAAGCGTTCCTAGTGGTCGTGCACCTGGGCTCCGGCTGTGCCCTCTCTGCCAGGGAGGCCGGGGAACCCGGGAGGTCCATCGGCTCCGACTTCTCCCTGCACCCGACACAGGAGGAGACGAGCGTCAGCCCACCGCCCAGCAAAGCCTGGCGTCCGGGGAGGTGAGCAGGCCGGGGCTTCTGTGGGTCACCAGCTCACGCCCCTGGCAGCAACTTGGCCCAGTCGGCTTCCAGCCTCCTTAGGAGCCTCAAGGGGCAGAGGGGGAGGGGACTATGGTTGGACAGACTCCTGTGGTTCCCAAGGTTTCCACCCTGGAGCCAGGAGGAAGCCTGTCCTGTGACCTGGGGCGGCGGGCAGGTGTCCTGGGGGTGGGTGTCCTCAGGACAGGCATGTCTTGCAGTCTGAGGAGTGGAGGCCGAGCCCAGATGGCACCAGGAAGAACCAGAGGGAGAGTGAGCCTGGGCCTGGCCTTGGAAGTCACTGCACGCGGACCTCCCCCCGAGTTACCATGGTTCCAGGGGACCGGGGCCGTGTGGCTGAGGGGGCCCCTGCCTGCTCCTGACTGGGACGGGTCAAGATCACGGATTCTCTGACCCCGAGAAAAGGCTCTTTCTTACCTTGGCGCCTGGTGGTCCGGCTATTCCAGGGTCCCCCTAGAGCGGGTGAAGGGGCTCTGTGAGCGTGGGTGTGGCAGCCTGCCCCCACAGTGGTGGCGTCCATGCTGCCTTCTCCTCCTCCAGGGCCAGCCCAGAGCGGAGGGTCCCAGGGACACCGGGCCAGCTGTGCAGGCAGCTAACACATGCAGCCTAGACTGTTCTGGAAGCTGCCCCATCAGTTTGCTCCAAGGAGCACTCCACCAGACGACTTCATTTTAAGGAAGTGAGTGTGTCTTTCTAAAATACAATCTTCTACCACAACCCAAAGTTCTAAAGCAAAGCAAAACACTCTAAAAGGAACATTCATCACAGGACCATAACACATCGCCTGGTGGGCCCTGTGCGCCCTTGAACCCGTGTGTCTGTGGGGAGCGTGGCGTGCCCTCCCAGCCTGGCCACCCATGGGGAGGGGTGGGGGCTGGTGTCCTCCAGGGACAGGGTGGGACAGCAGAGCCAAGCAGGGAGGTGGGGGGAGTCCCAGGGCGCCTCACCCCCCACCGCCCCAGAGCCTGGGAGGCGTGGCAGGGGCAGGTTCCTCTGTACCCCCGGGTTGGCAAGCCCCCTTCAGACGCATGAAGCCGGGGACCCTGCGGCTTTAGAAGGATGGGAGGAGTGCCCCCAACACGGAAGCTCGGGGTGGGTGGTGCCTGACTGTTTCCCCGTGTTTCTCCCATCTCCCGCGGTGAACTCCTGCTACCCCTAGGCCCCGCTGAAACGGTAACTCCTGGGGGGGGGGGGGTGCGCTCACTGACCTTGACCCCCGGCAGGCCTGGTGGTCCCTGTGGGGCAGAGAAGGAACAGAGCCTGAGCCCCCGAAGGGAAGGTCTTCCTCCTACAGGAGCCAGGACCCCCCTGGGCAGCCCAGGAGCAGGGGTCTGTCCTCAGCACCACCTTTACCCCTCAGGCAGCACACAGACCAGACGCGAGGGCAGGCGTGCCCGGTGCCTCCACAACCCGAATCTGCATCTTGTGTAACTGAAGCCTGCGTCCGAGCAGACAGAATGCTGCCCTCTGGCCCGTACAGGGCACTGGCTGGCTCGGCTTTGCTGTGACCCCCGGGGGTCTCTGTCACCTCCGAAGTCACGGAACAGCCCCGCTGATTCCTCCAGGGGTCAAGGGGCACTGGATCTGTGTACCCGGGTCCAGGGCCCGAGACCTCGCTGCCACCCCCCACCGGGTCCTCTCTGGTGCCCAGGCAGCTACCCGATGCGGCCAAAGGCTAGGATTTTTTGACACGTAAAAGGAAAAGCACGAAATTAAACTAGCAAAGCCACTCTAGGTACTCAGGGAAATAGTTTCTGCCCAAGAGAAAATTCTCACTAACGCTGCCCAGAATAGAAACCTGTCCCCGCTGCTCACTCTCACCAGGCTGAGGGTCTGGGGCCGCGGCGGGCGCTGGCAGGAGGGTCCCCTGGGCATCCACCGGCCATGGCAGAGGCAGCGCCCCACCCCGGGACGTGTCCCCCAAGTCTGGTCCAAGTCCAGGGCTCGCGGGGGTGTCGGCTGCTTCAGCCAAACCCAGGCCCAACTGGTGCAGACGTTAACAGCAGAACGAGGTGGGATTTCACAGGAAGGTACCCATTTTTGTTTAGTTACAATTGCACTTAGGGCCAAAGTTTATTGCTTGCCCCAGTTAGAGCCGTAACGAGAACTCAAGCACTGCTATTTTCCAGAAAGATCCATCTTTTAGGGCTCATTCTGCCCCACGTCCATCTACCGGACCACCAACGGCACTTCCCCACATGGACGGTCCACTCCCTTCCAGAAGGCCTCCAGGGTGGACAGTGCCCAGGCATCAGCGGCCTTGCTGGTCCCCACCGGCGGGCTGGTCCCAGGGGCATCCCCTGCCCCGCGTGCACCTCCCCCCGAGAGCGGATCAAGCCGGCAAGGGCAGTACCTGTGGCCCGCCGGCTCCGTGAGCAGTTGACCAGAAGGGTCCCCCAGAGCCGTCCATGTCCTCCTGCGGGCAGCACACGAGGGGGACAGTTGGGTCTGCGTGTCTTACGGGAAGAGATCCCTCCCGGAGGCCAGCCGCTGGCCTGAGGCGGAGACTCAGCCACAGCTAAGCAGGGCAGGTTCCAAGGGCTGAGGTCGCCTGGAAGCGGCCATTCTCGGTCCTGGCATAAGAAGCGTCTGCGGGGTTGCAGGGACCCTGCTGGGGGCGGGGGGCGCCCCGTTCAGCCCTCCTCTGAGTTTAGGGGATTTTATTTTTGACCCGAGCACCAGCCGGGGGCCTGGCAGTCTCACGGTGTTGCTTGGAGCAGTCTTTCCCCAGCACGCCCAGGACAGGGGCCCTGGCATGACCACCTGTGCAACTGGGTGGCTGCTCCCCCACTGCCCCCGGTTCCACCTCGTGGCACCGTCCAGGTGGGGCTCAGACACGGGGCCGGGGAGAGTGCTAGCCCGTGGGGGGCGCCCAGGGGGGCACGGGGCTGCAGACTCGGCTTTCTGGGGGACGGGAGCAACCAGTACTCACAAACCCCGCGGCAAGTCCTGGTCCTGGAGGCCCGGGGGGCCCGGGGGGCCCTGGTGGTCCAGCTGGTCCGGGGGCTCCTGCCAAGCCAGTCTCCCCAGGAGCGCCAGTGGGGCCAGGGTCCCCCTTGCTTCCCTGCACAGGTGGAGAGACAGAAGTCGCTGCTTTCGGCCACCAGGGCGTCCACTAAACCCCGAGACAGCCACTGCATGCCGTGCCCACCTGCTTTCCCTCTGTGCTTTTTACAAATCTGGAAACCGGAGACAAACGGCGTTGCACAAAGCAAACCCAATAGCCCCTGTTTTTCCTCTGACTCTAGGAAACGGTTTTGTCCACTTTAAAAACGACACTACCGAGGGAGACCCACAGGCCCGCACACCGGAGATACTCCTTCCAGGTCTGGCGCAAGGTGCGCACAGAGCACGCTGTCCCCCGCGGCGGAGGAGGGGGTGGCGAGCTGTGGCAGGTGAGGGGGGGAGCCCCGGAGCAGCGATGGGGGAGCAGGAGGGCCCCCGAGAGCGGCCGAGGGGGGCCCAAGGACTGAGGAGGCCCGAGGGTCCTGGACACCAGCTTGCGAGCAGGGCAGGGAGGTGGGGACTCGACACAGGGAGGCCCCCCCCCCCCCCCCCCCCCCCCCCCCCCGGGCAGAGGGCTGGGCTCCGTGCAGGCTCAGCCCGGAGGCCGGGATCACCACCTGGCCCAGCCCCACCCAAGGCCACCTAACCTCATCTGCAGATGGAGGGACCACAGTCTCCTGCCTGTGAGGGGCACAGGCGCCCCTGGCCCACAGCAGGGCATATTACCCACGCACGCACGCACGCCCACCGGAAGGCCCCGGGCAGCGCTGACCACTCCCTCTCCCCAGGGGGCCTCCCCGGCCAGTTCCACTGCCTCCTCCGGCCCCTCGAGTGGGCTGGGGTCCCCTCACCGCTTCCCACAGGCATCGGATGCTGTCCTACGGGGGTTGGGCCCCGGCCCTCCGTGAGCTGCCCCTGAGGCTGGTGTTAACCCCTTTACGGTCTATTTAACAGACAGTCAGCAGTTTGACTTATTGTCACCCACTTTATCCACGGGCTCATTTTAATAGAATCTTATATTTTACTTTCTGGGTTTTAACACTAGTGCCTTTTTATTATATTTAAACAACTCATCTAATGGTCAATCTTTGAAAGGCTTCTACGTAAATATCTGTGCCTAGAAAACTCCATCGGGGCTGATCTTTTGTATTTATTTTTTCCCAGTTTCCTACTCAGTTTACAACCAGGCTGTAGGATCTGGACCCCTCAGGCCAGCTCCTGACGGTTTTAAAGTTTGAGTCTCAATAGCCAGCTTCCCACTCGGGGTCTCATTCCCACAGCAGGTCTGACCTCAGCTTCAATGCTGAATTTTCCTGCAGTTGTAGCCCCTCATTTCAGGCCTCCCAGAAGGCCCTCAGTGCCCCCACGCTCATGCGTGTGTGTGCGCGTGCGTGTGTGCATGATGTGTGCGTGCGTGTGTGTGCGCACATGCATGCTCGTGTATGCATGTGCGTGTGTGTGCATACGCACATGTGCATACGTGTGTGCACATGCAGGTGTGCATGATGTGTGCGTGCGTGTGTCCACTCACGTATGCATGTGGGTGTATGCGTGCATGCACGTGCGTGTGTGCATATGCATATGTGCGGATATGTGTGCACACACGTGTGCATATGTATATGTGTGCGTATATGTGTGCGTGTGCATATGTGCATGTGTGCTCCTATGCACACGCTCCTCTCTGAACCCCACCCCATCCCTCAGAATCCGCATGACCTGTGTCCCGATCCCGTCCTCATCCTGGTCCTCCCTTCTGCCCCGCGGGGTTTGCCCAGCGCAGCCCCGGCCCACCAGCGGGCACTTCCCCTGGGGACCAGCCCCTTGACTTCCCGGGAAGTTTCCGGTGAGCGCCCGCCCACCCGGTGCAGCTGAGAAGGGGCCTCCCCGGACCCGCTTCCTCATGGGATCCCACGGGGCCCCAGCAGCACCCCAGCCCCCAGCAGCCCGGTCCCTCCCCATGAAGCCCCCCCACTCGACGCTTTATCCGACAAGTTTTCACCGGGAGCTTGTATCCAAACACCAGGTCTCATTCCGCAGCAGCCAGAACTGGGTGGGAACCCTGGCCGGACCAAGGGGACGCCTCCCCAGGGCGGCTCCCACAGTGGACACCGGCTCCCTTGACCGTGGCCCAGCCCGCCCCGCACCCAGCTGCCCATCTCCACCCGCCCCAGGTGCCTCCAGGGGCATCTCGTCTGTACCTTAGGTCCCGGGGCGCCCGCTTCGCCCTGCAGGGGAGAGAGAACAGTCGCTGAACCAGACCGCGTGCAGCCAGCGAGAGGAGAGCACACACTTGTGCTCATTCCGTCCTGACCCGAGAGGCCGCTGGTTTGCCAGTCACGCCGATCAAAGCCTGGCTTTCCTCGCTCGTGTCTGGGCAGCCGGGATCCCGTGTGCCGCTCCCGGAAGACACGCGTCTGAAACCCTGAGTGTCTCCTGGCCCTGGCACAGCGTGGGCTGCTCCCGCCACCGCCCTGTGTCAGACCTGGACAGAGGCTCCCGGGGGGCTGGGAGTGGCCGGCATCCCCACGAGAGCCCCTCTGGCTCGGCTGCTCCCCCAGTGAGAGGCCCTGAGCACCCGGGGTTCACGGAAAACGCGCCTCCTCCGCTCAGCCCCGAGCAGCCTGGCTCTCACAGAAAGTATCCCACGGAGGACGGCCTCGAAACCCCTCCTGGTTCATTCACCGTAAACAACGTGGAGCCACGGGCCCCGGTTGTAAGCAGAATGAAAGTTTGGGATGCAGTTTCCAAATCAAGCAAAGTGTCCCCACGACCCCAAACACCTAGTCCAGCTGTCATCAGAAACACTGATCACAGAGTCCCGAATTTTTACACGCTTCTCAGCGAACTCCAGACGCCCCAGGCCCCAGGCTCTCAGACCCTGATGACTTAGGCGGACGGTGGATGGTGGCCGTGCACAGGATGACAGGGCCACCTGCCTCCCCGTGGCCACCTTTGTGGCACTTCTCGTGCGGAAGGCCGCCCGGCCGCATCCCCACACCCATCGCTCTCCGGCCGGCACGCGGCACCGGGTCAGGCCCGCACAGACTTCTGGGGAAGTGACTTACGGGGCTGCCTTTCTGGCCAGTCTTTCCTGGTCCCCCGTCTCTTCCTGGAGGACCTGGCGGTCCCTGGGGGAGAGAAAAGCAGAGTGTGGGGCCAGATGGAATTCAGCCGCTGAAAAAGATTCACGGGGCAGCGGATGATTATCCGGGTGTGCACGCTTCCCCCAGGGTCAAGGACGCCGAGTGTCTCCCCTGACGGCTCACAGGAGAGCCTGCACATGGGCTACGGGGCGCAGCGGCTCCGCTCGGTTTCTACGTTTGTTCCCTTTTCGTTGAGTTGATCGAATAGGGGAGGATGAGAAGGGCCCCCAGACCGTGAGTGAGGGGCTGGTCATTCAAACAGAGCCGGGCGCCATCCACGGGACGACGCCACGAGCGTGCGGATTGGACCTCCGGAGCGCGTCGTCCGGCGAACACGTTCCGTGCACCCGGTTCACGTGGCGCAACTCTGATAGCGACACGTGTGGGAACCTCCAGGCCGCGGGGCCCCCCCGGCGTCGGGAGCGGGGGGTGGCAGGGCTCTGAGCACCCCACGAGTGGTGAGTCCCAGACGCGGGCTCCTCACGGCCCCCGGGCCTGCAGGCAGGGCCCACTCCTGGAGACAGATTCTGGGAGGTCCACTGACCCGCCGGAGACCCGGAGCTGAATGGCGCCGCAGGCCTCACCCAGTGGGTCGGCCACTCAGGCTCCTCCCCCCAGGGGCCCAGAGCCAGGAGCCGCCTCCCTGCGATGATCTGGGCAGGGGGGGTATGGGTGGGGACTGGTGTTCACCCCCCACCCCAGGCCAAGCCCGGAGGGGGTCAAGGGCAGGGAGGGGCAGGAGGCAGGCCTTACCGGGGCGCCAGGAAGCCCGGGGGCCCCGTCCCGCCCAGGCACTCCAGGAAGGCCTGCGGGGCCTGGGACGTCGGAGCTGTTCATCCCAAAGCGGCCTGGCTCTCCGGGCAGGCCTGGGACGCCGGGGGGCCCCGGGGGGCCAGGGAAGCCTCTCGGGCCCTGGATACAGAGAAACGCAGGATGGTTGTGGCACGTGGCACCCGCTGAGGGACGGCCCTGACCCCCACCCCCACTTGGGCACCACCACCACCACCACCACCACCACCACCACAGCCACAGGGTCCACATGCCCAGGACACTCACTCGGAGACTCTCCAGGTCACCGCCAAACCCGGACCCCTCCATGTCAATGAAGGTCTGAGGGAAGGAGCCCACGGACATGTCACTGGGGGCCCAGGTCCTTCCACCCGGCCCTCCCCTCGCCCAAGGCCAGCGGGGTGGGGGCTCGACCCGGCAGGATGCTCATCTCGAGCACTGCCCACAGCCCACAGCCCACAGCTGGGAGGTTTACGGCGAGAAGCCGTAAGCAGGTAGTGGATGCGCCCGCTGAACAAAAGGAGGCAGAGCCGGGCAGGAGGACAGCCCTGCGGCCCCAACACCCTGTGGCCCAGCAGACAGGGCTGACTCCCGGGCCTGGACACCCTCCCGGAAGGCCGGTCTGGGTCCAAAGAAGGAGGCGTCAGGAAGCCAAGCGAGGTGTGGAGGGTCCCTCCTGGGGCAGCAGGCGGCCCCCCTGCTGGAAGAGGCTGCGGCCGGGACTTACCAGCCTGTCATGTCTGAAGGAGGGTCCTGGTGGCCCCGGAGGCCCTTGGGGTCCTGGGGGTCCTCTTGGCCCGACCCCAGGGTCCCCCTGGGGATGTAAGACACCAGTTACATCAGGGCGTACGGCCCTCATTGCGGTCAGGGCTTGAGAGCGTAACGCACACGAACGGAGACCCAGACAGCTGAGACTCTCACCTTCTCGCCCTTGGGGCCCATGTCTCCTGGGGTCCCGGGGAAGCCCTGTGGCCCAGGGTCACCCTGGAAGACAAAGACCATCATCTCGGTCAGGGAGAAGGCCCCTCTGTGCTGTCACCACCCGTCCCGCCCAAGACACATGGCCGGGGCAGACAGCCAAGCCATCGAGGGGTTGACAGAGGGCATCCGTGCAGGACTCAAGGCAGACACTGCCCACTGGGGATCTGACCTGAGGGGCCACGTGGACCTTTCTACACAAATGTGACCTGCGACTTCCCATGGACATCCTCACCAGACACTGGCGCTCTGCCCCATACATGCCTGTGCCTGTCCCGTATATGTGTGTGCCTGTCCCGTACGTGTGTGTGCCTGCCCCGTACGTGTGTGTGTACCTGTCCCATACACTCGTGTGCCTGCATTGGGTGCTGTGGACAGAGTGCCTGCACATTTGCCCCTGGTGGGTGCAGGAGGCTTCTGTGTGCTGGAACATCCACGTTCACTGTGGGGCCTGTCAGATTACAGATTCCTGTGCGTTCACCCAGAGCAAGCTGTCCCTGGAGTCCTTTGGGTCCCGGACGCCCCAGGCCCTGCCCGGCCGAGCACTGGCTGATTTCCTCAGGCGCCACCGGTATTCCCGCAAGTGACTCCACCACCAGGTTAAGTAGGGACTGTCTGGGGTCAGTAGGAAATATCCCTTTCTGCCCCCTCGAATGTTTTCAAAAGGGGTGCGCGGTTACTCAGCGGCCTGTCCCCATGACCACTTGTCGGGGCGTCATGTCCCGTATCTCAGTTGGCAACTTTCTCGCGCTGTGTTACCGTGCTTCTGGGAAATAGCATTTGTTGATTTTTAAAAATCCATAGTTTTCAAGATAGAAGCTCCCATCTGTTGTGACTGCTGGTTGGTCTGCATGGACCCTGCCCCCTCACCCCCCGCCCAGCTACAGGCTGCACCCCTCCCCAACCCACAAACACGCTTCCTGTTTCTTTGTTATGTGTTTTTCCCTCTAAGAATCTGGAAGCTACACCTTTTATTTCTCCCCTTTCCTTTTTTTTTCTGGTAGTTAGCCTAAACTTCTCAATACGTACACATAACTTAGTATTTTTCTATCAACAGACTTCTATTTTCTCAACCAAAGTGAAGTTGCATTCAAAGCTAAGTGCATTGGCACTGAGTTTACAGAGTGCCACGGGGTAAAGAAGCCCGAGGGTCTCACACAAATGTCACAGATGGGACCTGGCTGTGAAAGAAAAGTGAACTTACAGGTTTCCCGTCTTCACCAGGATCGCCCTGGAACATGCAGGAGAACCGTTAGTGACAGAGAATTATACCCCGTCCCCACCCTGATCTGAACACGGAAACGGAGACGCACTCCAGGCCCCCCGAACGGTGGCGTGTGAGTGTGGAGAGCCTCCCTCCCAGTGCACTGCGGGCTGGCCCTGCGGGGCCTCGCTGGCCACCCCCGGCCACCCTCTTCCCTGACTGCCCCCACCTTGCTAACCAGCCTTCCTACTTGACCGCCCCCGGCCTCGCTAACTGCCCCCCTCCCTGACTGCCCCCTGACATCCTAATTGCCCCCTGCCTTGCTGACCACCCCTCCTCCCTGACCACCCCCCCTTGCTGACCAGCCCTCACCTCCCTGATCTCCCCCCCTGCCTTGCTGACCGCCCTCTGTCTCCCGAGGAGAGAGGAAGCAGCCTCAGGTCAGGGCCACCCCAAGGTCTCCATCGGGGACCGGCTGCTCAGCCGCCTTAGGCCCACCTCCCCCTCCTGTCCAAGCCCCTCCCCCCGGCCCAACCCAGGGAAGACAGACTCACCGGCTCACCGTCCTTTCCAGGAGCACCGTCCTTCCCCGGTGGCCCTGGGGGGCCCGGGGGGCCCTGTGGCCCGGGTACAGGCTGTGCATCGGGGCTCTGTACTGCAGAGCCTGCAGGACCCTGGGGACGAAGAGGAGAGGGCACAGGCTGGGGGGCCGCGGCTGCACCCTCCTGAGTCTCAGGCTGGGCTATGTATCACAGGGGACGTGCAGAGTGGACATGACAGGCATGGGACGCACAGTGGGCCCTGCCCGGTCATCCCTGCCACGTGCTCCCTCCCGGGGCTGCGGGTGCAGGAGGAGCACAGAGGAAGGGGAGCGGCAGCTGGAGCTGCATCCGGGTGCCCTGGGGTCAAGGGAGGGGCCTCACCTCTTCCGGGCCGCCCCCAGGGCTCCGAACGCTCCATGCGGTGACGGTGTCTGAGCCGGGGAGGGTCCAAGCTGGGGGAGGCAGAGGCAGCCGTCATACCCGTCATACCCGGGAGCACGGCCCAGGCTCCACTCTGGGCTCCCCGCCCCGGACCCAGGCTGCGTGCGGCTCCAGGATGCAGTCCCCCCACCACGCACACACACGCGCACACACTCTCATGCGCATGCTCACATACATGCACACACACACATTCACATACATGCACTCACATGCACGTGCACACACGCAATGCATGCACACGCAAACACACATCATTTCTTCTCTTGCTGAACCACGGAAGTTTGTTGCATCTGTCACAACCCTCACCCCCAATGCCACACGCCTCCTAAGAGCTGAGAGTGAGGATGTTTTCTGACAACCAGGCAGTTACACTTAGGATGTTTCAGGCTGTTGCCTGCGGTGACTGAACACGCGGCCCAGATTCAAGTGTCTGCACTGGCCCCGCGATGTCCTTGGAAGCTTCCTTCTGGGGATGGTTGACGGTGGAGGCTCCAGACCCCAGGAAGAACGGGCCGAGTCTGGCCTAATCAGCCCTTGGCCTGCCCTGCAGGGCCCCAGAGCTGCAGACGGGGCCCAGAGCTCTGGGGCAGCCACCGCACAGACAAGGAGCCACAGGGCACAGATGCCTGAGGCATGGGCCGTTGGCTCGCCCTGGCCAGCCCAGGACGGTCAGGATGGGCACCTTCCCCTTGTGGGGTGAACTAAGGCTGCTCCCCCAAACCTTCCTCCAAGGGGGTCGGCCCACCCAGTTAGACCGCAGGGACTCACGCCGCTCCTGAGGCCCGTTTCCTGAGGGGACTTGGGGGGAACCACTGCCCCCTTGGTGGGTGTGCTGGGCCCTCTGACGGCGCGGCGGGCTGGGGGCGGGGACTGCACGGGATCTGAGGCCCCTTAGCTGAACATGGACCGATGTGCAGACTGTTCGGGGCCTTGCCAGCCTCCCCGCCGGCACAGAAGAAATCGGAGCCACGTCCACGCCCTTGACCACGACCCTGCCAGAGCCTCTTGGATGCCCCTGGGCCCAGCAGCCAGACCACGCCCACTGAGGACCTAGGGAGAGTCCCAGGTCGGTGCGGGAGGGCAGCCCGGCCCCAGCCCCGTGGCGGCCAGCATCGGGTGCACACCTCTCGGGCCCGTATTCCAAATGCAGCATGATTTAAGGCAAACTTAAAACCTCTGCCTCAGTGAACATTTAAACGGCAAAAACCTTGCTAAGAGAAAGCAAAGGAAGAAGCCTTTTCGGAAGACTCCGTTCAGTGTCTGTGCCTTCCGAGGACTGGTTTACAGAGCCAGAGACGCTCCGGTCGGCGCTCCGGCTGGCTCTTCACGCAGAGCCACCGACAAACCGGGTCCGCGGTGTGCGAGGACGCGGAAAATCACAGCAGCATCACAAAGGGACAGCAGGTGTGGAGGGCTGGCACGGTGTCATCCCAGACTTGTTACAAAGCCACAGCAACGGGACTGCTGTGAGGACAGACCCACGGAGCAGAGTCCAGAAATAGTCTCACACGTACACGGATGGCTGATTTCCGACCAAGGCACACGTGTGGCTCGGCGGGAGGAAAGACCGTCTTTCCGGTAAGTGGCTCCGAACAGACAGCCGTGCTTCATTCCACACAGAAACCTAACTCAAAGCGGGTCACAGGACCAAATGCAAAACCCAAAACCATAACACGACCAGACACATCAGAAAGCCCCTGGGACCGTGGGCAGGGAGACTTTCTAGCTCTGACACCAGAAGCGAGATCCACACGTGAACGAACTGATAAATTGAGTTTCATCCAAATTAAAAACCAATCTGTTCTGCTTTCGTACAGACGCTATTAACAAAATGGAAAGATAAGCCACAGACTGAAAAAATATTTGCAAAACACACACCCGACAAAGGAGTCCCATCCAGAACATAAAGAACTCTCAAAAGTCAGTAACTGGGAAACAGCCGCTAAGATTTGAACACATGCTTTACTGAAAACAACGCACAAAGGGCAGGCAAGATCAGCACGTGGAAAGATGCCCCACGTCATCAGTCATCAGGGGGCGGCTAATCACACGGCCTTGAGCCGCCCTGTGCACCTGCCGGGACTCTGGCAATGGCACGTGGCCATGCCCAGCGCCGCCCGGAACTGCGGGGAAAGGTCGTCTGCGGCAGCATCTTCGATAGTCAAACACACACCTGTCCTGTGGCCCAGCCATTCTACCCAAGGTGTCGAGCGGAGACACAGCAGCAGGTGTCCCTACAGAGGCTTCCCCTGGAGCCCCACAGCACCTTTAGCTGTGACAGCCCCCAGCTGGAAATGACACAAAGGTCCACTGGCAGGTGAGTGGACAGCCAACTTCGGGTCCTTCCACACGGTGAAACAGCGCCCGAACCAACAGTGCAAAATCACACCTTGCTGAGCGTCAGCACAACGGTGCTGAGCGGATGAATCCAGACAGGAAGGCAGAGAGCGTATGGTTCCACGTACGGAACCTTCCAGAAAACACCAGCATCTGCAGCAACAGAAGGCAGATCAGGGGGCACCTGGGAGGGGTGTGGGGAGTAGGAGGGAGGGACCGCAAAGTGCATAACGCGTATCTGGGGCTGGTGGATGCGGTCATGCCCTGATCGTGACGCTTTCACGGGTGGACACACAGGTCAAAACTTATCAGGTTGCGTGTTTCAAATTTCAAATAAATGCAGTTTACTGTATGCTGATTACACTAAAAACAAAAACAAAAAGTGACCCCAGGCCCATCAGGCCTCCCCCCACGGGGTCCTGGGTCAGCCCTGGGCTGGGGTCCCGGGCCACGGAGCACAGTGGGCTGACCCTGGGACCCTGATGGGGCCCGAATCCCTCACTCAGGACCCTGAGGTCATCCAGCATGGCTGGGCCCCGGGGAAGCACGTCTGTGACAAATGCCGTAACTAGGTCCTTGGAGAAAGGGCACCCAGAACGGGGGCCGTGGGGCCCTGGGGGACCGATGCCAAGTCTCTCCCTATTTTTTGTTTCTAAGTTTCGGAGGCAGCAACGGGCATGTATTATTTCGGTAATTTTTCAAAAGCAGTAAATGGTTTTCTCTAAAATAAAAACAAATGTCCGCATACTATTCTACAGCCTTGACGGAAGCATGGAAGGCAGAGCCCTGAGGAGGTCTCCTGAGCTCGCCGGCCCCCGGTGATCCTGTCGGACGCTAATCTGGGCGCTGCTGTGAAGGCCCCCCCGCAGGTGTCGCAGGTTACTGAACAGCCGTCGTGCAGGTAGGGAGATCATCCTGGATTACTGGGGTACAACCCGTTAACCACACGAGGCCCCGGAGCAGAAGAGGCGGGAGAGGAGAGGCAGGAGGGGGCGTCTGGGACGTGCAGAGCACGAGAAGGACTCCACCTGCCGTGGCTGGCTCTGGAGCGGCCAGGAACAGAGGGGCGTGGGTGGCCCGAGAACGTGAGACCCGTCGCTGGCCGACAGCAGTGAGGACCGGGAGCCTCCGTCCCACGGCTGCAGGGAACTGGATTCTGCTGCCAACCTGAGCGGGCGGGGAGCCCATCCCCCGCGGGGCCTGCAGGAGAGGACACGGCCCTCGGGACGCGAGGTGAGACACGAGCGCCCTCCCAGCGGCCAGATGTGTGGCCGTCTGCTGGCAGCGACAGATGGCTGACGCGTTGACACTCCATTTTCAGTGGCCCGGCCACGGGCAGGTCCACACCGCACCCCCCGGAGCAGCAGACCCCCAAGGCCACCGGGAAGCATCCTTGACCCCAAATGCCGACCCACAGCATTCCACGATTCATCGGACAACTCGTACGATGATTTGTCATCCTTCAAAACCAAATCTCAGGTCCTCTTGGCGAGCCTGCAGCACAGGACGCCCGACGGACCCACCAGCACAAGAATGCCGGGAATGAGACACGGAAGGAAAGGCCACGCAGCGGTCCTGCCCTGACTCTCCTGCGGCCACGAGGGGGCGGGCGGGTGCTGACCGCTCCCCAGTCTGGGCGCATTTGTGATGGCAGGGAGCCCCTCGCCGGCATGCACACGACTGACACACGTGTGCCACTGACACACACACACCACCCAACCACACGCCGCTGACACGCCCAAACTGACACGCACATCCCATCAGTAAACAGTTCTACCTCCCAACGAAGACATCGTGGTTTCTTCCTCAATTTCTTCAGTTCTGGAATCTTCCACATTCCTGCCTTCAGCCAAGGGCGGAGAAGTGACTGGTGGAGCCTCAGGGAGGCTGGGCTTTGGGGACAGACCCTGGCAAGGTGAGAGGGGAAGACAAATCCATTATGTGGCAGACGCGGATGTGCCATGGCAGGTGCTGGGTTATGACACGTGTGGTCTGTAAGACAGGATCTGCGTGGATTCTTGAAGAAGCTCCGGGACTCCCCACAGCTTCTTCCTCCGAAACAGCCGTGGGGATGGGGTCCCGGCCCTGCGAGCCCTCGGATGCCCCAGCCTGCAGGTCCCCCTGTGCGGTAGGGACGCACCAGCACTCACTGTGCTGGCCCAGGGCCCCGAGACAGCCCCGAGGGGACACTCCCCGAGGTCAGGACCCGCCCGGTGAGGGCAGCCGGAGGCCTTCAGAGGAAGGGAGCCTCCGGCATTTCACGGCACAGACGGCATGTGGCGCGACCTGTCCTCGGCAGGGGTCACGACCGGGGGACTCCACGGCCAGGGCCGGGTGACTTGCACCCACCCTTGAGGAAGCAAGACCGGCTCTGCTCTGAAAACGCCTCTTCCTGGTCCCCAGAGGCACCCGGGAGCCTCAAGGACGTGGGCACAAGCTGACGTTCAAACACACAGTCAAGATGCTTCCTGCAACTGTCCGCCCCACGTCTGGCAGGAGCTCCCTGGTGACACCGTGCGGGTCAAGGCACTCGGGGACCGGCGTGCCCACGAGGCCGGAGGGCTGGGGGGCCCGGAGCTGGACATCAGGCCTCCCCCGAGGCCCCAGCCACACATGCGGGAAGGCCCCCTGGGACCCGTGAGCCCCGGCTGGCCCCCCCGACATCCCTGCGCCACTGAGCGCGAGAGGGTGGAGAACACGGAGAGCCGGCAGGGGAGCCCCTGCAGGCTGCTCGTGCCCTGGCCCGGCCCGCCCACCCCGCACAGGCTGTGGCCCAGTTCCTCTGCCGTCACCCTAAGCAGCCGGCCGGCCGGATTTCCCCAGGGGAGCCTGGCCAGGTGTGGGTTCCCAGTTCAAGTACTGCCGACCGTGGGGCGGATCCGCCCCCGGGGCCGGCCGCTCGTCTAGCCCGCTGAGACGGGACGCAGAGCTTCGGCACTTCCCGCCGTGGCCCCGGCACTGCTCGGATACGTTTCCACGGGGTCTCTGTGCTCCCAAAGCAACGGTTTGCCCCCAGGCACCCTGGTAGGGACAGGAGCTCGGTGGGTGAAGGGGCGAGCGCCCAAATCCAACCCGCGTCTGTGGGGACGCACAGCCCGTCTGACCCGGGCACTGCCGTCGGGCACCGCGCACCGACGCCTGCTGTGAGCGGGGCCCTGCTGGGCGCGCCTCCTAGGACTGCTCCGGCCGGCGCGGGGCCAGGGGGTCCCCAGCACCCCCTGTGTGGGTGGAGCTCAGCACTCTGCCTGTCCTCGATGTCCTTGGGCCCCTCGATGCCCAAGCCCCGGGCCGGCAGGAGCGGAGGGCACAACGCTGTGGTGCAAATGCAAACAAGCCGCCTTTCCCCCTCCCGCTCGCTGTTTTGGGTGTCGGGACCTGGGCGAGCTCAGACTTGGCCTCCAGAAACCTCCTCGCTGTAAGGCCCGCCCACCCTCCCTTTGTGTCTGAGCTACAAACCCGCTAGTACTCCGCGGCCCCTCCAAGCTAACGGGGAGGCGTAAACAGAACATCAACGTCACCCCAGAGATCCAACGAGGGGTTAGACTCAGAAACCGAATTTTAAATCCCCGGTGACAGGAGTAAGAGGGCGCGTTCCCGTGTCCCCCTGGGAACGTGTCCTCAGGTCGCAGGGAGCCCCTGGAGTCCCCCATGCGTGTGCACCCGTGTGCTCGCACAGCCTGTCGGGACAGGGTCCCCCTAGGACTCACGGAACTCACCGACTGCTCCCTGAGAAGCTCCCGGTTCTCCTCCAGCCCGCTCCCGAAGTCTCCAGACACCTGACAGTCGCAGGAAAGAAGGAGCCGGTGACCGAACCCCGTCCCTGGGTGGCGTCAGCGGGCACGCTGATCAGAGCAACTAGGACGCCCCTCTGGGAAACGGTGCGGCCGCCGGCCACACACACGGAACCGTGAAGAAACACGCTCCTTCCTTCTGCCTCGTCATCCCGCTCCTGGGACACTGTCCCGGGAAACAGCCAGAGGAGAGAGGCCCCGCGGAGGGGGCTCCGGGCACGGATTTGTCAACTCAAAGGCCACACCGGGGGACGGCCTCACAGAGCTGAATGAGGTGGCCTGCGGCCACAGGAAACGTGAGCCATCATATCGTCCCTGCCCTGGTCACTGCACGTGCCTGACGACCTCGTTCTGTTCACAACCGTGCGGTCACTGGGGGCATTTTTGAGATCTGGATTCTCCCTGGGAACACGGACTTTCCTCCCCTTCTGTCCCTCACACGCCCTGGGAAGTGGATCTTCTTAGGTCCCATGCACACACGCTCTCTCACACATACACATGCACACGTGTGCTCTCAGACAGACGTGTACATGCACACATGCTCTCACACAGGCACGCACACATGCTCTCTCCTCATACAGGTGTGTGCACGCAGTCTCTCACGTAGGCACGTACACACACTCTCTCACACGTGCACACAATGCTCTCTAATACAGGCGTGTGCACGCACACATGCTCTCTCACAAAGGCACACGCATGCACGTGTTTCCTCATACAGGTGTGTGCACGCACAGTCACTCACGTACACACACCCATACACACATGCACACACATATGCTCTCTCACAGGCACACACATGCTCTCAAACATGCACACACACTCTCATACAGGCACGTGCACACACACACGGTCTCTCACAAATGCATGTGCACGCACAAACAGGCATGTGCATGCACAGTCTCTCATTCACGCCTGCACACACACATGCTCTCTCACACATGTACACACATATGCTCTCTCTCCCAGGCATGCATGCACGCACACTCATACATGCACGCACACTCTCACACAGGCACACATGCTCTCAACATATGTATGCACACAGACGCTCTCTCATACATGCATACACGCTTTCTCACAAGCATGTGCACACACACACACTCTCACACATGCACACACAGTCTGTCACAGGCACACACGCACACCCTCTCACACATGCACCCTCACACATACGCTTCCACACGTGCATGCACACACACATGCTGTCTCACGCAGACGCATGTGCACATTTTGGCCAAGGTGACCGTCATCAACCATATAACCCAACCGGCTACTCTAGGGATGCTTTTAACACTTACTCCATGTTTGGTATGTGTTTTTACGTGGAAAGTTCTAGGCAGGGAACGAATGCTCTTTCTGATGTTACGGGTAAATGAAAATGTCCCAGGTTCTTGGTACCCAAATGACATCCTTCAAAGGAGGATGTCCTACCACTTTGGGGTCCCCAGTCCCCACCAACCCTGGGCCCTCCGCCCGTGGTGGGGGGCGAAGCAGGGTGGGGCAGGGGGAGGGAGCTCCGTGGAGCCCGGCCACGGCAGCGACTCACCCCACCGCTGTCCTCGTCGTCCTCCTCCAGACAGTGCAGGGGGCTCACCCGGGGGTCTCCGCGCACCCTCAGCTCCGCGATCCTTCCCTAAAGGCAGAGGGAGAGAGCCGTCACCGTAGGCCCCGAGGCAGTCGGCACGGCCACGCCGGCACCAGGCTCGGAGCCTGGCGCTGCTGAGGATCTCAGCGGGGTCACGGAGCCGACCGAGGTCCAGGACGAGGCCATCTTGGAGACAGGAGGGCCCTCGGGTCGCTCCCACTGGGGCTCCAAAGGCACTTGCGTGAGGGGACGGGGAACGGAGGCCGCTCTCCTGGTCAGTGCCACGTGAGGCAGGGTCGCCAGCGCAGACGTGGAGGGACGGGGCCTCGGGGAGGCGGTGACGGGGACGGGAGAGCCGCGCGTGGTCCCGGCTATTTCGGGGACCGGCAGAGCCCATGACTGAAAAGCAGCAGGCAAGACTGAAGAAGCCCCAGGGCGTGAGCAGCGCGGCCCAGCGGAGTCCATGTGGCGCTCGCTGACTTTCGAGCCCTGAATCGGCTCAGCTGAGACCTCGCCCTCAAGCACGAGAGGCCACCGGGGCCGCTTTCTAAAAGGTTTCCCTGCCTGGAAACGGTGAGTGTCCACACATGTGGTTTCTAGTATTTTCTTTGTTTTTTACTCAGCATTTAACCCACTGGGATTTTCTCCGGCGCCTTTTTCCCAAGTAGAAACCACACTTGGTCAATCCTGAGACGTAATGGAAGGGCCTGGGTCAGGGGTCGGCAGAGCTTCTCCGTAAAGGGCCAGTCTGGGGAGTCTGTGCTGCCTGGTGCGCGCCCGCTCGGCATCGGCCACAGCCAGCACGTGAAGGGCCGAGCGCGGCTGTTCCGAGTGTTACCGACACCAAAATGTCATCGTGTCATTTCCACGTCGCAAGTCTCCTTCCGATTCGCCCATTTCAATGTGTCAAACAAAGCCTTTCTCACCTGCACAGAATAGGCGATGCCAGACGGGTCCACAGGCCACGTGCTGACTCACCTCGGTTGTTCTGTTTATTCCTCCAAATCACCTTCAGGCTCCCTCCATCACGTGACCCCTCGATTCCCTGACCTTCGTGCTCCACACCAGCAAGGAGCACGTGACAGCAAACCAACAACACCCCAGTGGGTCCCCAGATGAGCCCTGCTTGAGGGCTCCACTTGCTTTCCAAGGCCGCCTCCTCCAGGAAGCACTCTCGGATCTCTACCCAGGGCTGTGAGCACCTCAGGGGCCAGTCCTGCCAGACTCCGTACTCCCGGCTCCACTCCCCAACTGCCGACAGTGAGACCTGTGGGGCCGTGTCCCACCTCCGTGTGTGGCTATGTGTGCGTGCCCATGTGTGTGCATGTATGTGCTGTGTGGGTGTGTGCTTACACGCATGTGTGTGCACCTGCCCTGTGCTTACGCACACGTGCCCTTGCACACACGTGCTCATTCAGGCACATGCACCTGCTCCTAGGAGGCCAGTGAGGGCGGTCGGGCCCAGGCGGGACTTGGGTGGAGGGAGACCCTCGGCCCCAGTTACCGCGAGGTCCTCGTTTTCCCAACGTGCAGGGGAAGGAGGCAGCTGAGGAGGCGGGCGGGGAGCAGTCGGGACGCGGGTGGGTGATCTGTGCTCTGTGCACACACGCGGTGTCCTCCTTTGCAGGTATGCACGAAAGAGCCGCCATCATGGGCAGCTGGTATGACTCAGGGCCACCAGAGCAGCCACCGGCTCACAAGCTGACGTGGGGTGCGCCAAGTGGCAGAGGGTCACTTCCTGCAGCTGGGCTGACTTCGGAAGGCGGTGAAAACGTGGCCGTGGGCAGGACCACGTACCTCATCCTCACTGTTCTCCCACCAGCCACAGCGTGTTCTGGAAGACCAGAGGCAGGAGCTGCCCGTGGCTCTGCGGACAAAGCCCAGAAGGAAGCCGCCCTGGTTCTCAGTTGGACTCAGGATGGTCATCAGTTCCAGAAGGTTCTTCCGGGCACCCGGGAGAGGACCAGCACGTGCCGAGTGATGTCCAGGCCTCGTGGCGCTCCGAGGCAAGCTGACAGACGGTGGCCGGACCATGGGGCTGAGGGAGCCGGGGGCAGGGTTGCTGTCCACGGGCCTGTCCCCAGGCTGCTAGGTGGCCTCACTGGGGGAGGGTGGTGGTGGCATCCTTCCGGAAGCGTGGAGCCGAGAACTCCAGCTCTTTAAGGAAGAAGGTGACCCGGCACAGAGAGCATGGTCTCAGGGGCCAGAGATGTTTCAACCACGCCAACAGTGGTCTGTGTCTAACCCTGAACCCAGCAGGCCACCCCCACCGCAGCCACTGCTGCCCCTTCAGACCCGGAGTCACCCTCGCCGGTCCCTGCCTCCTCCTGCCGCCGTCGCCCAGGCGCAATGCCGCCCTGCAGCGTCCCGGCAAAGTGCAAGGTCAGAGTGGGGCCCAGCCTTCCTCACAGTGGTCACCGGGGAACTCACTGCAGAGCCATCGGCGGGACTCAGGGACGGCCTGCCCGACCGCGTGGCACAACTATTGAGAGCTCCTCCCTGTGGACCGTGGCGGGGGGAGGAGGGGCAGCACAGGGACTGGCCGCAGGCAGGTCCCCGGAGCTGGGCCCGGGGCGAGAGGAAGTCGCGCCCGGGTGCAGGGAGTCAGCTACGGACAGTGCTTGGTATATCTGAGGGACAAGTGTCCCTCCCTTCAAATTCTTGGACGGTCCAACCACCACGGAGGGTGGCCAAGCCACGCGGGAGAGGTGTGTGAGCGCGTGTCAGAGCTTTGTGTGGATGGGTTATGCGTGAGCACGTGCGTGCGTGTGAACGTACACGTGTGCGTGTGAGCAGATGTGTGCATGCAGCGACAGCACGTGAGAGAGCGTGTGCCAATGTGAGGCGTGTGCACAAGGGTGTGAGAGCAGGCGTGTGCCCGTGTGCATGAACGTGTGCACATATGTGTGCATGCAGTGAGAGCATCGTACGAGAGCACGCGTGTGCATGTAAACACGTGTGCGGGTGTGGTGAGAGAGGGGTGTGCACGTGAGCACAAGTGTGCAGACCAGGAGCAGGGAGCATTGCAGCGAGGCCCCTGTCCATCCACACACACAGGTGCCCTCCACCAGCCAGGTTCCTGGGGGCACCATCGCCCACGGGAAATCTGGGCCGTCCTGTAAAAATGCAGGGGTCAGGTCAGAGGTCAGCACTGGCATCGTGCTGGGGATGCAAGTTCTCGACCTCAGTCCTGTTGAAGGAGGGACAGGGTCGCCCAGGTGACCGAGTTTGAAGACGCAAGGACAGCACAGGGCGGGTGTTAAATTCTAGAAGGTCGAGCTCTCCACGGGGCAGCAGGGTGCCCTGGGGGTGGCGGCCATGAGGGGAGGGACGGGCGCTCCCGGCAAGTGGGGTCAGGGGGCCAGACCTCCACCGTGACCGTCCCCACAGACCCGTCCCTCGAGGCTCCGAGCTGCCAGCAGCTGAGGCTGTTCGCCGGGCTGCCCGCGGGGGACGCGGCAGGGAGGGCAGCGTTGGCTCTGGCCGCTGCTCCGGGAGCCGCATGCGCTTCCCTGGGGACACGTTTAGTGGGGAAGACGTCAGTGGTGCAAAAGCCACAGACACACTGCAAATATCGGACGGGCTTGGAAGCAGACGTGGAATCCAACGTCTGGAGACGTCGCACTTTGTTAACCGTCTGGAACGTGTCCCGTCGCTGCCACGCTGCCGGCTGCGCGGCCGAGTCGCACAATGAGAACCCCGTGCTGCGCACGCTTGTCACTGAGGTCACTGGCCGCGGGCTGCCTCCCTGGGCCCCCCAGATTCTCGGAGGTGGCCTTGACCCGGCCTCGGGGCCCCGCCGGGAAGCGCTGCATCCTGGTCGCGGGCGGGGGGCTGAGTGAGCCCGTGGTGGGGAGGTGGCTGGCGGCGCTCCGGGCCGGACTCCCCCGCCCTGTCACCCACGCCGGCTGCGCTGTGGCTGCCCCGCTTCCTCGGGCCCCGGCCCCGGTGGCTCCTGACCGCCTGCTTGCGTCACCCTGGCCGCCAGCACGACACCATCTGCTTCCTCTTGGTTCCTTCTCGTGGGGTCGCGTCCGGGCAAGCGCTTCCATCACAGGCTGCTCCTCTCTCTCCCCCAGTCGTGGCAGGAAATGGCAGGGATGCGGCGGCATCACGTCGAGGCCCTCCTACTGCGCGTCACGTCAGGTGAGCACGGTACGTGTCGTAGGAGGGGTGTCGGGCGGGGGATGGCAGCGACCGGGGCGCCCGGCTCTCCCTCGCTCAGGAGGGGCGGGTCTGGGTGCTGGGCTTGGGGGCCACGGGCCCCTGACGACACTTTCCCGGCCATCCCGGGCGTCGAGCCTGCCGTGGCTGCGGGGCACCCTCCAGGCTTCAGTGGACGGGGCGCTTATTTCTATATAACGTGGCCCACGAGGCCTCGTGCGGGGGGAGGTCCCCGTTGAACAAGGTAGGTGAGCGCTCGGCATGAGGTGCGGCGGCTGGAGCACAGCCTCCGGGAAGGCAGGGCCGCGTCTGCTCCAGGGGTGCGGCGGGGGCACCCGCAGAAGCCCCCCCACGGCCAGGGAGGAGCTGCACAGAGCGGGAGAAGGGGGAGCAAGTCGAGGGAGACGCGGCCGCAGAGCTTTAGAAACGGTTAAAAAAATTAAAAGGCACACAACCGCCGAAAAGGTTGGCAATAAGGCAAGCACTGTCCGAACCGCACGGAAGGCAGGACTTCCCAGTAGACGCTTCCTACCAAAAGTGACTCAAGAAGAAGAATAAGCCCGAAGAGACCAGTTTTTCTGACCAGAGGCAAACAATCAAGGTTCTGTCCGGACCCGCCTGGACCGCCTGGGAGGGGCCGGAGGAGACGCCGCCCAGCTTCCTCCCGGCGCCCTAAGCCCCGAGCTCGCTTCTGCCAAATCTTATAAATCACGTGACGTGAGTGATTCTTCTCCAGGAACTTCAATTCAGAAAGTCTGCAAAACCCGCTGCTAAACCGATTTGTCTCCTGTTCTACAAGCTTCTCTCGGCCAGCTGGAATCCGTTCAAACACCCACACAGAAAATTCCTGAAGCCTCTAGTCCGTGGGGACATAAGGAGACTTGGCTCAGGTGCATGTGACACAAGCGAAGTCAGCTGGAAGTCAAGCTGCCACCCGGGGCAAGCAGGCCACAGCCCAGGGCCGACGGAGGAGCCTACACCCCGCTCCAGGAGTCCTGTCTTCCTAAACTTCAGAGACTTGGCCACGATATTATACGCCATGGGCATCTTCTCCCACCATGGGTATCTTCCACATAAACACTTTAAGTATCTCAACGGTTTTTTTTCAACGTTTTTTTTTTTTTATTTTTTTTTTATTTTTGGGACAGAGAGAGACAGAGCATGAACGAGGGAGGGGCAGAGAGAGAGGGAGACACAGAATTGGAAACAGGCTCCAGGCTCCGAGCCATCAGCCCAGAGCCCGATGCGGGGCTCGAACTCACAGACCGTGAGATCGTGACCTGGCTGAAGTCGGACGCTTAACCGACTGCGCCACCCAGGCGCCCCAAGTATCTCAACGGTTTGAACAAAAAAGTGACATGGTGAAAACGCAAATGACAAACTGAGAGCTAAAATTTTAAGTGCACAAAACCAAGGACCATTTTCTTTCACATATAAAGAGTTTGTAAAAGTCAGTAAGAAATTATTGAACCCCCAAGACCAAAGTGCAAAGAACATAAATGGGCCAGTCACAAAAGAAGAAATGCAAATAGCCAAAAACCATGTAAAAAAAAATCTAAGTCTGTCTACACTAGCAACCGAGAAATGCAAGTGAAAACACCCAGACACCATCTGCCTATTTCAAGTGGCGAATGTGTTTTGCACACGTGACACGCAGCCCCGACGAGGCACAGGGAGGAGGCGCCGGGCGTCCTCACCCACGACAGTGGTGACCCGGGCAACCCTGTCCCCACCCGCACACAGGCAGCCTTTCTGCTGAAGTGTTAGAGACGTGGGGACACACGGGACGCTTTTTTGTCCTCAGCTTCCCGGGAAGTCACACAACAAACAGCCAGTGGACACAGCCCCCTCCTCGACAGACGGAGCTCTCTGACTTCTTTGCAGTTAATCACGTTTGAGGATCAAAGCGAAAACACAAAGAGGCCCAGTTTCGTATCAAAGTCCTGCTGGCTCCCAGACCCCAAGGGTTAAAGTTCCTGCCAGAGGCGAAAGGTCAGCTTTCAGCACCCAAGTCACCAGGACTTAGAACAACTTTCATGAAGCAGCCTTTCTCTAGGCAATAATTAACTTTCTGTCCCCCGGGGACACGGCCCCTTTCAGCACACACAGGGGCCCCTGTCTGGACCGCTGAGCGGGGACGCTCTAGCCGCCGGCTGGCTCCAGTGTCAGGGTTTGGGGGTCTGTGGGTCAGTGCCCGTGGAGGGTATCCACGCGACATTCACCGGAGGCAAGGAGTCCGGCTCAAGTTTCCAACAAACGTGGGCACTGAGGGCCCGGGAGAAAGACCCCTTCCAGGCTCCGGGACCCGCCTGCCCCCAGAATGAAAGGCCGAGGCCAGGCCTAGGGGTGGCGGCTTCCCCGAGGACATGGTGGGACCGCCACGAGCCAGTTGCCCTGGCGAAATTCTGCCCTCGCTGCTCGGAAGCTGCGCTGAGGGCCTGCTGAGCAGTTTGGTGAAAATAAGGTCATCGTCACGTTGATGGGGCGGATGAGTGCGCCCTCCAGGGTGCAGCCCGCCCCCACAACAGTCCACGCTCAGGGCCACGCCGTGTGCACAGCTCACATAGCTGGGCCGGGACGCTGACTCCCGTCCGCCCCGTGGGGCAGGGGGGCCCGGACCCCGGGGTCACCGCGGGCACCACGCACAATGGAGGGGCTCTCGTGTGCCGCAGATGGGGTCCAGTTGGGAAGGGGACGGTGCCGGGGGGCCTCCGAGACTTCCACCACATCCCCAACCGGGGCCTGCACTCAAGCGGCCGGCGGCCCCGCCCCGCGGGCGGTCCTCTCCCGGGCACTGCTGCACAAGGCAGGAGGCAGACCGTCCCTTGTCCCCGGGGGCCAGACCCCCACACCAGGGCCGGTCCCCACACCAGCGGTGGCTGTCAGCTTACCTGGAACTTGCTGGGGTCTGCTCCTCCAGCCTGGGCCACGAAGAGGCCGGCGCCGGGCTCCAGCTCCAGGGCCCGCGGGGAGCGCACCAAGGGCACCCTCTGGAACAGCTCGCAGTCCACGAACAGCGCCACGGTCGCGCCATCCACGCTGAGCGCGAAGCGCGTCCACTGGCCGGTGAAGGCGGGCAGGCGGAAGCTGGCGGCCGTGCGGGTGCGGGTGGCGCCGGGCTCGGTGTACAGGAGCTGGATGTGCTGCTGCCCGTCACGCACGGCCGACAGCTTCACGCCCACGGAGACCACCGCCTGGGCCGCGTCCGTGATGGCGAACAGCACCCCCGCGCCCTCGGTGGCAGGCCGGACGTGGAAGAGCAGTGAGAAGTCGCGGAAGAACGGGCTGGGGAAGTGGTACCGGGCCACCTGGCCGCTGTTGGCATCCGGGCCGAAGACGAAGGCCGGCCCGACGTCAGGGTCGTCCACCTGGGCGACCTGCTGGGGCGGCGGCTCTCCGAGCAGCTGCAGGAGCCCCACCTCCGTGCCCAGGCTCTCTGCAAAGAGGAGGGAGACCCCGGTGAGGCTGCGCGTGGGAGAGACCAAGCAGGCAGGGTGCCAGGGGGACACTGAGTCACGAGGGGCTCCCCACCCGCCTGGCACCTGCCCTGCTTCTCCGGGCACCCTCCCGGGGCCGGGGCTTGTGGCTCACAGGCCCAAGGGGGACGCCACAGGAACCGCCCCAACCAGGGGGGCAAGGATGCGGTGGGGCAGCCCGCTGAGGGTGCCGGGGGCTGCGCCCCATCTGCGCCCCATGCTCGGGCCCCACTCCACCTCCACGACCCCCATGCCCACCCTCAGACAGCGGGAACAATACTCCGGCACCAGTCGAGGCACCTGCCCGGGGTGCTGACTGCATTACAGAGGAGAGAAAGCTGAACGCCAAGCAGCTCCCTGTGGTTTTACTACATTACGAACCGGCCTGGAAACTGATCAAAGCCCTGGGGGTAGAAAATCAGAACGGGAGGCTGGGCTATCTCTTGGAGGATCTGTCCTGGCTTGAACCAGTCCTGTGTCCTGCGCCTGCTCATAGGCGAATCCCACTCAAGTGCCCCAGGTTTGTCGGGGGCTTCCCTCCCCTCCCACGGTGTCCACGCTGCGGTGCCACAGCCACCCTGACCCGGAGAGGGGCCACGTGGTGGATGAGCCACTGGGGAGAACCGTGATCGCCTTCACCAACGGATGCTCACACTGGACGGCCCTCCCTTCTCTCAAGCACCCTCTTCCTCGGTGTCCTAGAGCACGTGAGCTCTGGTCTAGGCTGGGGACACGGCCGTGGTGCCCGGTGTTCTCCCTCATTTCTCATCCTTCCAGGTGGGACCAGAGGCTGCTGTCGGGGTGGGGGAGGGACACAGGCCCTGCTCTCCACGACCTGGTCCTGGGCCCCAGCAGGGCCTGACTTGGCCATGCACCTGTACCTGCCTGAGACTGCAGGTGTACAACTGAGGAGAACGCCTCCAAGGCACGCAAGCCTGACGACCTCGGACCAGGAGTGCCACCTCTCTGTCTGGGGAGCCCGGTCACCGCCGGACACAGGAGGGGGCACACACCCGTTCAAGGAGACACCTATACGTCGGGGGCTTCCTGCATGCACATCCACTTTACCAGGCGGAGCCCAGTCCCCCGTGGTTGGAGCCACAGTCCAGCCAAGGGCCCCGACCCAAAGCCTTTTCTCTCAAGACCCCCACCTACTGTCCGGGTGTGGTCGACCTCCGAGGTGTGACTCACACGGGGGAGACGCTCTTCTGGGAAGGGGCTGCCGACGCGCAGATGTCCCGAGGACCGTGGCGAGCGAGCGTGTGACCGTGCGCACGAATATGTGTGCGTCTGTTTGTGTGTGACGGGGACCTGGGGTCTGTCCCTGAGCCACAGGGCCAGGCTGACCTGGGACTTCCCAGTCAGAGCAGGGGGAAGAAATACTGAACCCCAACTTCCTAAGGCAAGTTCTGTCTTTCAAAGAGCTCTTTGAGAACAAAGAACGAAAACAGAAGAGAGGCAGACACCACCCACACGAGGACACGCACTTTGGATTCCTGCCAGGCCTGGCGCTCCCGGGCAGGGGTGGGCCTCTCCACTCTGCACGGGCCTGACGTCGCGCCCGGTAGGCAGCACCACCAGCCAGCCGGGGCTCCCCCGAGGCTCACCGGCAAGACCCTCATGCCGATGGGAAGTGGGGAGCGGGGGGGGCCCTCCAGGAAGACGCCGGGCTCTGGGAGGACGGCGGTCCCTTGACGCTCAAAGACAGACACTGCTGGCCACCAAGATGGTGGCTGCTGTGATCGTCCCTTCACGTCAGAAGTCCCCGGGGCCTGAGGGTGCACTCAGGGAGATGTTCTGAGATGAAGAAAACAGGACTCTCAGCGGCCTGTGTGCTAATGGCCCTGCTGTCCTGACTCAGCTGTCCTCAGAGTTACACGTGGATATGCCCACCACTGCCCTTCCTCCCGGGCGGCTAGAAGTTCTCCAAATTAATTCAGAAGGCAAGATGCACCAGCCGCTGTTGTCCTGGGCCGAAAGACAGCAGCATGCTACAGGGGCAGCCCCGTGGAGACCAGCGACTCACAGACGGCTCCTTCTTTCTCTCCGTGAAATGCCTCATGGTTCCCATCGGGAGTAAGCCTCTGAAGGCCACGGCCCTAAAATCACTGGAACTAATGAGTGGAACTAATCTGTGATTATAGCAAGGTTATGAGATACAAGATTAATATACAAAATTCACTTTCCTCTATACAGTAATGAGCAAGCAGAATTTGTAAAACATAATACCATTCACATTAGCATTCCCACAAATTAGTTACTTAGGTGTAAATAGAACAAATATATGTACAACATCTACATGAGGGAAACTATAAGACTCTGCTGAACTAAATCAAAGACCTAAATAAACGTAGAGATATTCCATGTTCATGGATAGGAAGACTCAATACTGTGAAGATGTCAGTTCTTCCCAACTTGGTCTGTCTGTAGATTGAATGTGATCCCCATCAAAACCCCAGCAAGTCATTTTCTGGCTATTGACAAACCAATTCTAAAGTTTATAGAGAGACAAAACACTCAGAATAGCCAACACAATGTTGAAAAAGAACAAAGTTGGAGGACCGACACTACTGGCTTCAGGACTCGCTGTAAAGCCACAGTGATCAAGACAGTGTGGTGGTGGAGAAAGGACACACAAATTGATCCATGGGACAGAACGGAGAACCCAGAAGGAGAGCCACACGGAGACAGCCGACGGATCCCTGACAAAGGAGCAAAGGCAATCAAGTGGGCAAAGAGTCTCTTCCACGAGGGGTGCTCGAAGGGGAATCTGGACGCAGACCTTACACTCTTCACAACAGTTCACTCACAACGGATTGCAGACCCAAACGTAGAATGCAAAACTATCGAACGCCTGGAAGATGATACAGGAGAAATCCTCGGTGACCTTGGACAGGGGGACGACATTTTAGATACAACACCAAAGGTACCACCTAACTGATAAGCTGGACTGCGTCAAAATGTAAAATCTCTGTTCTGCGAAAGACACTGGTAAGAGATGAGCAGACAAGCCAGAGGCTGGGAGAAATATTTGCAACACGTTTATCTGATAAGAGAAGATATATCCAAAATACACAAACACTTAAAACTCAGCAATAAGAAAACGGACAACCCGATTAAAAAGTAGGCCAAAGACCCAAAGAGACACCTCACCAGAGAAGACAGACAGACGTCACACGTCATCAGGAAAATGAAAATGAGGAGGGCACCTGTTGGGATGAGCACTGGGTGTTGTATGGAAACCAATTTGACAATAAATTTCATATTAAAAAAAAAAGAAAGAAAATGAAAACGACAACGATGTCACCGTGCACCCGTGAGAACGGCCACAACCCGGAACACCGACAACACGGATCGCTGGCGGGGACGCGGAGCAGAAGGAAC